CTCTGTGCCAGGAGGTGCGAGACCAGATCCTGGAGATCATTGCATGGTCTTTCCGCTGCCTGGGTGGCACGCACGCATGCTAGTACACGCATCATATATCCCTCATGCCGTGCACGAAATAGCATGTCATGCATGCATGTATACAGGTCGTGGCCGCTGGCCTCGACGAGACCCTTTCGGTCAAGAGTGGCCAAAAGGATATCGGAGAGACAAAGTTGGCCAGCCTTTGGCCGGAGAGTGGCGAGCTGTGATGGCTGGGCTTCAAGGCGACCAAGACTGGTTTCATAAGATATTTCGATTCCAACGAGACTGGCCACGCAAGAGACATGTGTGTTTTTTTTTACACATATATACATATATACATATATACTGACATATACCTCGCCCTTGTTTTTGTTGCTCAGGATCTTGGCACAGCACAAGGAAGGAGTGTTGCCAGTACTGTGCGGCAACGCAGATCGTGGAGCCCGGTGGGAGCCACGACATGCTGTACACTGAGTTTGGTCGAAATGCCCGCCATCGTCGCACGCATCTCGCAGCATTATATATGTGTATACACACGCACGATTGCCAAGTAGCACATGTTGATTGTCCAGGATCCTGCAGACACGGGCAGATTGGGAAGCTGTCCACTGTGCAACATGCATCACGCAATTGGTAGGATTTTCACCCAAGCGAGTCTTGCTTTGCAATTATTGTATGACTATAAATTCGAGCCTGTGAGTTTTTAGGTATGTTTCAGCCATGGATCCTTGACATACTTCGATCTTGCAGGAGTTTACCCAGATATTCTGCACATTCTGGACTTGCAAATATCTGTGGATTGTATTACTTCGGCCTTGCTGGACTTTTCCGACGCTGGCAAAGCACCAGGTCGTTCGCGAGATGCTAGACTGCGGGCAATTGGCTATGAGTACGCAGACTGGTGTCGGCAGGAAGGCACTCAAGCACGCATTTATTATGATTATATATATATATATATATAGCTGGTAGCATGCATGTGTTCGCTAGATGGATATTCAGCCTGAGGAGTGCAGGATCGTGCCAATCCCAAGCTGTTCCTGTCAAAGACCTTGGGAGAAAGCAAGGATTATCCTCACGTTTCGCAGAAATATCTCAAGGCAGCTGCTTCTCGATACATGGTTTACTTTATGTACGACTTCTCGAGAAAAAAGGAGGATGAGGTTCGTGCCAGCCTTTTCGGAGCATTGAGCACCATGCTGACAGTGTTTGCTGAACACCCGTGTCCGGGCTAATCGTCTTTTTTTAATCATGCATGTGTTTGAAAGTTATAAACGGTCAAGGGTCCAAGGATGCATGCACGTTAAGACGTTCAGGCGCTACTGGGACCACGATGCCGAGGATTGCGATGGCCACCCAGAGATCGTCCTTGAGCAGGCATATATGCAGTACAGATCCGTGTACGATGCCCTGGCCCGCGAAGCAATCGAGCAAGGGGTGTACAGGTATAACCTGCGACCCAAAATGCACCAACTGGAACACGTGCAGCCTAGGTTCGAGAACATCAGATTTTTTGTTGTTTGACTTGCACGCATATATGCACCGGTGGCATGCAAGATCTTCATGCATGCATGCATGTCCGAATCCAAGGATCTTGGATTGGGTTCCTGAGGCCGGGAATCCCCGGTACTACAGTTGTTTCCTCGACGAGGATCTCATCGGCAAGGTCAAGCAATTCGCCTTCACATGCATGCACATGCATACATGCAATTCGCACACAAGATTTCACGCATGATTTCACGCATATTCGCACACAAGATTTCACGCATGATTTCACGATCTGAGGCGGATCGTCGAGCACTCGCATCCTCGCACCATGAGCTTGCGGGCCTTGCAGCATTACTGCCTGCTAGCCGCCCTCCGTTGGGTCGGAACCGACATGTCGTGACTGCTGCGAGGAAAAGTCTGCAGCCGACGTACTGCTCTGTGAGTGTTCGCATACATATTTGCACGCATGTTCGCGGTTGGTCGTATATCGGGCGGAATTTTTGCATCTCGCGAGTCGCTTTATCTGAAATTTCTAAGCCTGCTTGTCTTCAAATCCAGTTTTTCGTGTTTACTGTCAAAACAAATCCAACCGACTTTATCTTTATTCGGTTTTCGTCACGTATTTCAACCAACTCGAAAAATCTGTTTATATATCGTCCAAAACCGAAAAATGCTCTATACGGTCGTTTGACGCAAAGAGCGCTTTATGATGTCGACCGGCCTTTCTTGGTAAGCTTACACCTAGGGCTCCTGATTCCATCTGTATAGCTCTTTCACAATAACTATTGGGACCCCACAACCCTAAACTCTATACTAGCTTAATAGGGCTCCTCAGCTGCTGCGGAAAACTGGTTTTTATAAAGCCTGCACATCGGCTATGTGTGGAAAAGAAAGATACTGCCACTTCGAATTGCAATGGTTGAGTTCGGAGTGCCATTGCAGCTTGTTCCATGGAGGACTCGCGTGGCCAGTCGTTGCCTTCCCGAGGCCTGCTCGTGAACTTAAGATTGGATCTAACTTACCACCGTGCTGCCACCTGCTTCGAGGCTTGCCGACGGCATTCTGCCGCGCTGGTCTTGGGGTGGTGTGGCCAGTCGTTGGCTTCGGGAGGCCATATGCTGCTTGTGAACTTGGGTCTAATTTACCATCGTGCTGCCACTTGCTTCGAGGCTGGCCGTCGGCATTCTGCCACGCTGGTCTTCGAGCGTGCCCCGTCGTGGCCTCGCGAATGCTGCCTTCTATGATTGCTGCCGTGAACTGTTGGCAGGATTGATTGTTGTCTTGCTTCAGACATCTTCTGCTCGAACGCATTCAGCTACCGCAATTTAAGCACCCATGTTGCTGGTGCTTGAGGCCGATGGGTCCATCAGGAAACACTGGTCCCATGATTCTACGTTGGTTTATCGCACTGGCTGGAACCGCTGCGGCTGGTGCCCTGTGTTGCCGACTATAAGTGAGGAGCGGTCGTCTACATGCAAAAGACAGTGGACGAGCTGGGATGATGCCGCCAACAGGCAGGCACCGGGCCACGAGGCCGATTGCAGCACGAGGCAGAGGCAGGCGCCGGGCCAGGAGGGCGATTGCAAGAGGAGGCAGAAGCCGAGGCATTGAGGCATGTCACGGACACCATGTCCGCCCATGCCGACCATGCATGTCGAACTGTTCGGAAGATATATACAGAGATGCTCCGAATTTTTCAGAAATTGGAAGTGACCTTTTCAAAGGGACACCTTCTCTGTACAGCGAGCCTCCAAAGAGGGGAATCGGAGACATTGTCTATCGCCTGGTGATTTCCAAGGATTGTGCAAGCCTCCAATTGCAAAAGTACATTTCCTCTCGAGCTCAATCCGATGTGCAGCTAGCTAGCAGCCGGGCGGTTAACATGGACGGTCTCCGGGGTGCTTTCAAAGGCAAGACTGCTCCCTGCTCTTGCTCCTGCAGGCATCATCAAGCCATCGACATCAGCGAATTGTTCAGCGAAGTGCCGCTGACCTGTCTTCAACTTCAGGTCGCAATAAAGTGCACGTGATGTTTCACTGATTGCTTGCAGGCTTGCTGTGCTTGTCGCTCGGTCGGTCGGTCGCTCTTGCTTGGGATTGTTCGCCGCTTCATGGTTTGTTGTGCTTCAGAGCTTCATCCCGGCAGGATCATATTTCTGCCCGAGCTCGATCCCAGGTGCAGCTAGTTAACATGGAAGGTCTCCGGGGTGCTTTCAACGGCAAGCGTGGGCTCTTCGACAGCAAGGCCGCGAAGACAGAAGAGCCGTGCCAAAAGAAGAAGGCCGAGAGTCCCAGCAGCAAGGCCCCAGACAAAAAGGATGGTGTTCCGAATGAGGATCCCAGGGAGGCAGCCTTGCGCCGCAAGCCTGATGATATTCCCGCGGATCAGTGGGAAGAAATGAGGCTCAGAGCCAGGGAGCAGCTACAGCAATATGAACGGGCCGGCATTCAGATGGACACGTATATCACCAGCACTGGCCATCTGTGGACGAGGGACATCTTCCGTGAACTGGGGTTGCTGGATCGCTGATTTATAGATGCCTCGGGCTGAAAAATAAACACGCCTGCTTTTCACGCACGATCCAAACTTCAGTGATGCTACGTATATCATCTATATTTATACATTTCTCTCTTGCAGCCAGGCCGGCATCGATCATCAATGCCGACGCAAAGTCTGCCTGACCTGTCTTGACACTCGGCTCGCACCGACGGGTTTGCAAGGGTTGCCGCTGCCAAATGCTGTCGCAAAGACTTCTCAAGCTTACTCTGAGCATGGTATGCGGGCATGGGAGTTGCTACCTGTTTATTGTTATATATATATATATATATATATATATATATATATATAGGGATCAAGCATGTGTCTAGACTTCCAGTGCGACTGAGCTTTGTGCATATACAAACTACACATGGAAGCCAGCCGCGCCCGTGGCTCCGGCAGTCCCGTCGAAAGTGTTTCCTCATCCTCCGTCGACGTTACCACCCAGCTTCAAAGCCTACGACTCGAGTTCGAGCTCTTGGAATCAAAGTTTCGAGTGCTGGAAGATCGATTGTACCTATTGGAGCAAGAACGCCAAAGCGACTCATCACGAATAGGTTGGCTGGAACAGTGGCAACAAAATATTCGTAGCTTATTCCGATTGGCCTGATTTGCATTTTGCCGCTCTGGCCATCTGGACGTCGACATCGCTGGAGGCTGTGTGTCTCTGATCCATGTCACTGCAGGTCGTCTCTTCATTCCTGCCTGCAGGCAACAATATGGGTGTGGGAAAACGCAAACGTTTGCTGCTTGGCATCCCTGGCCTGTTGTTGTTGTTCCTGCACGCAGCTCGCACCTCCGCACCTCAGACTTCCGTATGGCCGCTTGTTATAAACTTCATCTCTCTGCCGCAGCTGTGTGATGCATCATGTGCACAGAAGCATGCATGCCGAGAAACGTGGCTAGTTATGTGGCATCTTAAATTATAGCGTGGCCTGCCTAGGGGCGGCGCCATGGGGCCTGGCCGTCCCCGGGGATCGGTGGAGCGTAAGCTTGCCGATGAAAATGTGCATATGGTCCTGGAAAGCCTTGTGGTGCCTGAGGTTCCAGTGTTTCAGGGCTGTGCACGTGTTCCCATTTGTTTCAGATGCACGTGATCTCCTGTGAACAGGACATCCTGCTGAAAATGAAGGTCAATCTTCCTGACCTCTTCGAGCATGCGGCCAGCAAGCAGGTTAAATCGGCTGGCATACGGGAGCTGGCCAAGTCTTTCCATTGGTTGCTGAAACCCTTGCTGCAAGTGTGCCCAGTGCCCGTGCACACAGATAGCCTTGTGGAACTTGTTACCCGCCTGTGCAAGAACACGATATACATCGATGAAACTGTGGCCACAACGCTGGCCATGGACCTGAAGTGGATCCTCACCAGTCTTCGGAAGGTTCGCAAAATCTGGAAGTATAACATGAGGGGGAAGGCCGGCGAGTGGCCCGAGTGGGCCAGTGGCCCGGCTGGCATGTGATCGTTTATGGTATTTCTGTGCATGCATGGTTGATTTTTTGGCAGTGAGCCTGATGGACTTAAGGCGAAAATTTCCCCGATGTGCTTGAGCTGGTGAGGATGATGGAAGGTTTTGAGAGTGAGGAGGCTGGACAGGTCGTTTCAGAGAGTTGCATGGGCCATGCTGGACTTGGTTTTTCCGTCGACCTGCGACATCAGGCCGATTTAGCAACAAGCTGGAACCTTGCCGACGGGCTCCCGATTAAAGACGAAGAGATGTCCGAGTTGTATGGCCTCTGGAATGTGGCACCTGCCGAAGCACCGTCACGAGGTCTGATGTTAACTCCACCCTTTTAATTCTCTCTCTCTCTCTCTCTCTCTCTCTCTCTCTCTCTCTCTCTCTCTCTCTCTCTCTCTCTCTCTCTCTCTCTCTCTCTCTCTCTCTCTCTCTCTCTCTCTCTCTCTCTCTCTCTCTCTCTCTCTCTCTCTCTCTCTCTCTCTCTCTCTCTCTCTGTGTCTCTCTGCCCATTATCATTTTCTCTAACTCTGCTGGCTGTCTTTCGTCCAGGCTCAGAGAGGAAGCTGGAGGAGGTCGAAAATGCACTGCAACAGAAAAGGCGATGTCTTATATGCCTTCCAATCAATCTGCATAGCTTCGGCTGGGATCCTTGCAGGCAGAAGGTCCTTTCTGACCTTCGTCACGTGCAGATTTCGCTGGACGACACTGATGAGGAAACTGCTCCTGCGCCTCCAGCCGCACATATACGAAGCAACCTTAGATCCAATTCCTGTTATCATTGATGCATGTGCAGGCCGCATCCTCCTCGTCCGGAGCATGTGGACCTGCAGCCGGACCTCATGATGGAGCTGTTGCTGCACCCCCGTCTTTCGGGGCATGTGGACCTGCGTCTGCACCTCATGATGGGGCTCTTCCTGATGCACGGGCGGCTGCCATCGTACCTCATGCTGCCGAAGCTATTGCATACGACTCACGGCCCGACTTTGTGGGAGATGTTGCAGCCTTTTTGAATGAAGACACTTGGCTGCCGCTAGCTGTTTGCTGCTTGTCTGCTAGATATGCTTTTGATTCAGCTCAGCCAAGGCAGCCCCATTGCCACCAGTGGATGTCCGAGCTCAAAGGGCTTTGGCAAAGGCTGCGGCCAAGCCGACGGCGGACGCTCCGGCCGGAGTGCCGAAAGCCAAAGCCGGCAACAAGGCCAAAGCAGCGGCCCCAAAACGAAAGCAAGAGAAGAAAAGTTTTCTGAGGAAGACACACAAGAGGGGCGAATCCATTGCCTACACTGTGCACGACAACATGCAGAACAAGCAGGTGGTGCAACTGGTGAACACCTATGTGCCGGACGCCGCGACCAAAGTTCAGACCTGGGTGGACTCCCTGAACACAGGTACATTGACCTTGGAGCAGGTCATTCAGGAGAAGGATGAAATCATGAATGCATTGTCAGGATGACTGGCAGGATGACACTGAGTGGTGAAAAAATCCAGTTCAGCATGCTTTTCGCCAGACATATGTTGCAGAACTGACTAGCAACGTTTGCCACTGCATGCCAGGTCGAGACGTGGAAGAATCCAGGTGTGGACCTCCTCTCCCTGCTTGTGACTATGTGCTTGATCGTGTTGTGAGGAAAAACTCCCGCAATATACTGAATCAAATCAGCTGTCCAATGGTCTGATGGACACATGTCGTGCACTTCCAACTATAGTTGAACTTAAGATTTGTGCTGTGACATGTGAGTTCCCTTTGTCGGTTCTGAAGCAATGGAAGTTTCTTTCTATGCGCCCGACTCTGCTGATATCGCTTCGAGACTTTCGAAACTTGGTGCTTCCACTGCACTCATTCCATTAATGGTGGCAACGTACATGCACATGCTCCGAACTGACAATAAGGACCACAGGAAATGCGAGAGTTCTATGGCTTGATGATGGCTGGATTGCCGTGGGTGCTTCTGCCTTGTCTTTATACTTAAGACGTACTCTCTTGCCAAAATAAAGACTGCACCGGCAGGCCTTCTTGGACGTCCTGCTGTATTGCCTTGTCTTCAGGCGAGGGGTTGTTGTATGGACATATTAACAGATTCACGACCCAGCCAGTCTATGCAGGCTGACAATGCCACGTGCATCCAACGACAGCCACTTCGTCGAGTTCTTCTGCGGTCGAGCACTGCTCACAAAGGCCTTTCGCGAGATAGGCTGTCGCACTCGAGCATTCGACGTGGACCGACTCTTGCCTTGTTCCTTCTCTCTCTCTCTCTCTCTCTCTCTCTCTCTCTCTCTCTCTCTCTCTCTCTCTCTCTCTCTCTCTCTCTCTCTCTCTCTCTCTCTCTCTCTCTCTCTCTCTCTCTCTCTCTCTCTCTCTCTCTCTCTCTCTCTCTCTCTCTCTCTCTCTCTCTCTCTCTCTGTCTCTCTCTCTCTCTCTCTCTCTCTCTCTCTCGTGTCGTGTCGTGTCGTGTCGTGTCGGTTTGTCTGTCGTAACCGTGAGCCGAGGTTCGCCTTTGCATGATCTGTCTGGTGCCATCGGCTTCCTTACTGGCATCCTCAGTGTTTGGGAAGCCCAAATAGGGTCACTGATACATCTGGGGTGTGTGTGCAGTAGTTTTTGTTGGGTTAACACTGCCACCCATCAGAGATCGATCAGTATGCCGTTGGGCGCTGAGCTCCCGCATGTCAAGCTGGGCAACACTCTGGCATCACGGACTGTCTTTCTTTGCCTCCTGGCCTATCTGCGAGGATCTATCTTCACCGTGGAGCAGCCCAGGTTGTCCAGGTTGCAGGATCACCCACACTTCCAGTACATGATGAGGTTCTTGACACAGAGGGGCGTCAACCTGCGGAGACATGATGTGCATCTGGGTGAGTACGGTGCAGATACTCGCAAGCCGATCTGGCTGTACGCTCCAGTGGATGTGAACATACCCTGGGGTCTCTTTGATCTCGCGACTCCGAGCACGGCCACGGCTTCTACATACTACTCGTGCCGTGACAGCTCTACCTTTCCATGTCCAATGTCCTTAATATGTTTGCAAACTTCGCCCAGGTACGTCGACGATAATGGCATCAAGAGATCGACGGGTGGGCCCGGCCTGAAAGCTAGCCAAGCATATCCAGCAATGCGACCTGGTTTGCAGATATGATGGTGAGCTTGTATCATGCAGTGCACTGCGGTGTTCGCGAGGTTTGGCCGGACGCTAGCCGAATGGTGGTCGTCACATTGGAATGTCAATCACAGGGATGGTCTGGCACGTCGGAAGGACCACGGGTTGCAAGCCCTCATCCATTATCATTGACCACGTCTGCGCCAGGAGCTTCTTTGTCAATCCCAAGCCGCTTCACTGGACATGGATGCCCTCAGGGAGAGGGTGATGCACGTCGCTTTGCGATCGCAGCACCCAGACATGGGACTAGCCGATATGCTGACGTGGTGCCGAGCACAGTTGGACTCATCGCGGTGTTGAGCTCAAAAGTTTCGTGATGCATTTAATCGAATCTCCACGGATCCAGCCCACCATACGACCCGTTACCGACCCGTTACCTGAATTAAAGCGCTAGACATAATCACTGTTGGTCACCCGTGACCTACCCGTTACCACCCGTTACCCTCCTAGCATCCTAACAACCTATGCCCGGTTACCGACCCGTTACCGACCCGTTACCTGAATTAAAGCGCTAGACATAATCACTGTTGGTCACCCGTGACCTACCCGTTACCACCCGTTACCCCTTCAGCATCCTGATTCGACTGGATCTAGCCCTTGCCAGCTGCCGTGTGCATTTTCAGAATGCCTGACATCATTTGAGCATTTTGCTCGAGATGGAGGCGTCCTTGAAGGTTAAGGAGGAGCTGCTTGCAGCAATGGACCAACACCACTCAGGTGTTGGTGTCATGATGGCTGCAGCATGTGATGCTGCCGAAATGGACACCCTGCAGACTGCTGATTTCAGTCAGCAACATGCATTGAGTGCTCCATTGATGTCGGGTACCCAGTGACGGGTTGTGCAGGCACACGGGGTGAGCTATACGCCAGTTGACGGACGCGGTGGCCACTCAGCCTGACGACCTCTCCACTGTGGAAGCAGATCTGGAGCGGCTTTATGACGCCCCGACACCAGAGCTGCCTGGGGTGGCGGCTCCTCCTTCACTTAACCCCAGTCCGGCCCTTTCTGCGGAGCCGGTGGGTCCCATGCCAACCCAGCCGGAGAACCCGGGTCCTTTGCCAGGCCCCTCCATGCCTGACCCTGTGCGGAGCCTGGCTGCAGCAATGGGCCCCGCCCCAGACCTGCCGCTTTCTGCCGTGCACCCTTCGCCGAATGGAGCCGTGGTTAGCTGCCATCGGAGAAGTTTCGAGGATCCGTTCACCTCCCCTAAACCCTAAACCCCAAACCCTGAACCCTAAACCCTTGAACCCGTAAACCCTGGACCCAGGAACCCCCCCCCAACCCTTTCAACATTATGTCGAGCATTTAAGCAACTCCTCAGGACCCGATCATTCGATGATTCCGGTTGGTCCTGCTGCGGCTCCCCAAGCTTTTTTCATGGCCAGTGAGTACTGGCAAGGATCCATGCAAGGGTGCTATTTCGGAAAGGGTGATCGTGGTCAAGGATACTATGAGCTGTCGAAGGTAGCTTCTTCTCCTGGTCATGCACAGACTGTGTCGCTCCTTGACTTGATGAGTGCTGGACGTTCACGCATTGAAGAATTATAATGTGTTTCTCTCATCAGCCCCTGATCCTGAGGAAACCGCCGCAAGAATCTTGGGCCACTCCGTGGTTTGGATCTCGCCCAGAAGAAGACGTCTGAAACCCAAGCCGCTGCAGCACCACCAAAGCTGGAGAACGCCATGCATGCTGGACCTCCAGCTACACAGCCTCTGCCGGCCCTCTCTGGGGAGCCGATCGTGCCTGCTGCAGAAGGGCATCGGACGGAGAACCCAGGTCCCTTACCTCCAGCTACGCAGCCTCTGCCGGCCCTCTCTGAAAAGCCGATGGTGCACGCTGCAGAAGGTCCCTTGCCGGGACTACACAGCCTCTTATGGCCCCTTTTTATGGGGAGCCGATGGTGCCTGCTGCAGAATTGCATCGGACGGAGAACCCAGGTCCCTACTTGCCGTGCCGCTCGACACTCCCGACTCTGCTGCCTGCCGCACAGCCTGCTGCTGCTGCAGTGAATTACCCGATGGGCCCCGACCCAGGTCCTGTGCAAGGCCCACCGCCGCCAGACTCCATCAGGACCCCTATGGGCCCCGACCCAGGTCCTGTGCAGTGCCCACCGCCGCCAGACTCCGTCAAGACCCAGCCCGCACAGTCTGCTCCTCTGAATGACACGATGAGCCCCGACATCCCAGGTCCTGTGCAAGGCCCACCACCAGCAGACTCCGTCGAGCCACAGCCCGCACAGTCTGCTCCTGCGGCAGTGAATGACACGATGGGCCCCGACCCAGGTCCTGTGCAGTGCCCGCCACCACCACCTGAGACACCTGTGCAGCCCACACAACCTGCTCCGCATGCGGCACTGAATGACACGATGGGCCCCGACCCAGGTCCTCTGCAAGACCCTTCATCTACAGCCACCTCCGATGATGCCGTGAACCCCGCACAACTACCAGCTGGCACATCCCCTGGCCCGTCACTTCCGGTCCATGGCTTGCCCGATCCTACGGATCTGCCATTGACCAACCGTCAGTCGGACTTCGATGCACACCTGGAATCGCTGTGCCTGGCGAGTGAATCTTTCGACGCGGGGCAAGGACCCATCGACCTGCAAACCCATTTACAGCCCTACACCCTAAACCCCTGAACCCCTAAACCCCTGACACCAATTGTTGTGCCAACATCCACCTTCCGAGGACGCCGCCTGCTCCTGCTGCGGCTCCCCAACCTTTTTTCATGGCCAGCGACTACTGGCAAGGCGCCATGCGAGGCTGCTACTTCGGAAAGGGTGATCGTGGTCAAGGATACTATGAGCTGTCGAAGGTAGCTGTGTCTCCTGATGATGCACAGCCTGTTTCGCTCCTTGGCTTGATGAGTGCATCACCTTCTGTAGTGGCATCAGCATGTGTCACTGCCCTATCTTGGACTTCCGAGGATCCTCAGGAAATCCAAGCAGGAACCTTCGGAGACTCCGGCACGTGTGAAATTCAATCTGCCTGGTTTGAAGGACTTGACCCGGGAGAATGTCGACAAGTTGTTTCGAGTCCACACTGCTGCACCGCCCCCCAAGCAACCGGAGAACACTGTGGACTCTGCACTTCCGTCTACGCAGCAAAAGGGGGAGATCCATTGGAGCATGCCTGAAGCCGGCCTGGTGACTGTGCGGGACAACCACGGGGTGAAGTTCAAGGAAGTGCCATGGTTTGATGGTGCAAAGGCGGGTTTCTACTTCGGTACGTGGACCCATGATGATGGCAGATCTTTGGTTGGTTACATCGCGGACCGTGCTGTGCTGCCCTGTGACGCTTTCGGCGGCCAGAACACGAATCGTGTGTTCACGACGAGGGATGGAGTCCTGGGCTATCATCATGACGTTGGCCCATTTGCCATCGCGACCGACAGTCTCATCGATCAGGAAGTGCGGAAACTCGGGTGGGGCCTGTCGATGTGCGTGGAGCCATGCAGCTCCTATGGCCCGCAGCCCCAGCAGGCCTCAAAGGCGCCGGCGAGCCAGCCGCAGAATGATCTCGAGAACTCAAAGCCAGAGATCCAGTCGGGGGAGAATGATGGGGAGTATACCCCGCGAGCAGCATTAATGATGCTCAACAGGCTGCGGAAAAACCCGGCACGCCTGACAGCCTTGGGGGAGAAGTTGAAGGACATGGTGATGTCCAACGATCCGACCACCATGAAGCGCCTGAAGGAGTTGGTGGTCCAGAACCAAGGGGACCTGGCCAAGATCGAAGTCCAGGTGCAAGACGTTGTCGAAGCCAACGACGGGGAAGCGGCATTGTCCAGAGTGTCGCCCATGACAAAGGCGCAGGCCGGCTGCCTATATACTGTCGATGATCAGAGGCCAAGTCATGAGTGATTGCGTGCATGTTTGATAGCTTCTTCGACAGTCGGTCGTTGTGACTGCTTGGCTGCGACTTGCATTGCTTCAAGGCTTGATTTGTTCTTCTCTTGGGTCCGTCGGTCGTCGTGCCTGGCGGTGCTTCTACGCTTTGGTCGGTCGGTGGTTCTGCCTGGTGGACTGTGACCGCTTGCACGCTTGAAGCCTTAGGTAGGTCTGAGTTTGCAAGGGTTGAACCTCAGGAGCACGTTTCATGTTTTCAATTGAATTTTGTGCTGTACTCTGATCAGGTGGAACACTTGTATGGCGCAGATGCCGAGGCGGTGATGTCACACAAGCGATCCTTGGGACAAATCCAGAAGGACAACAATGTCCCTGGTGGAGAGCTTTTTCTGGTCGAGCAAACCAGAACCGATGTGACCAACGAGACCAAGAAACGCTGCTTGGTATCATTCTGTTCAGTGCTGGATCATGCTGTAGATGTTTGGCCCTGTCGCATTATATAACACATCTACATATCTACAGGCCGGATCACTACGAGCTCCCTGCCTCAGCATGCTGCAGAACCACCTGCATTGCCGCCCGTGGCCACACCGAATGCGGTGCCAGCTTTGCCTTCGTCGGGGGAGTCGACACGGTCCACAAAGTCGGAGGCGAGTGGATCTGCATCCGCAGGGTCGCAGGCTACGGGTACGCCGACAACACGCCCAAGCCGCCGAAGCCGAATCCCAAGAACCCGAAGCGGCAAAAGTTGGATCCCACGACCCCCTTGGAGAAGGGACGAGATCTTAAAGACAAGCTTCTGAAGAAGGTCACCCAGACAACGACGCTGGAAACCCAGTTGTTGGGCGTGGAGTTTGCAGAGAAGTTGCTCGAAGAGATCCAAGCCGACAAGGAGATTTTTCGGTGTTCTGGCTGCACTTGGTGTAAAGTCTGGTTCGGCTGCTTACAGCGCCACCTGCCATAAACATTCTTCCATCGGCCGTTGGCATCCGGCCACGCCGATAGAAGAATGTTTATATGTGCCAACTATACCAAGGGCAGCATATACGTGGTTCGGTAATCCACCGAAGTAAGGAAGCACTTTGCTGCTGTCAGCCATCTGGTGGAAAAGAATGTGAACGAGGAGATCATGCTGGACTCGTGTGTGTTTATTGTCGGATCGACCTTCTCATGTGCCCTGCCTAGGAGCACGCCTACCTTCCGTACGTGAGGGAACATCTTGAGCATTTGAAGGTTTTCGCGGGCCATGAAACCGCCGCTGAAGCCTTGGTGAAGTCGCGAAAGCCGAAACCGGCGAAAAAGGCGAAAGCCAAGAGCAAACCGGTTGAGGAAGCTGCCGCCTGATCACGATGCCGCGATGTCGATGTTGTGACCCTGGTTTTGTCGTGTGCACATGTGAAGTGGTAGTCTGAAATAGGTGTTTGATCGCACGTGATTTGGGCGACGCAACATGCATCTGCATCCTCAGCATTTTTGCTAGATGTTAAACAGCCATGCACCACCGCAAGCGTGGTGATTAGTATTTGGCCTGGAACAGAACAGGGCTTTTGCAAACTGCAGTCTTCTGCACACCAAGGGTGGAGCAGCTCCCCACAGCATGAAACGTTAATTAGACGTCCGGTGGAGATGCTCCCTGGACATTGTTCTTATAAGATCATGGCCCGATCAGCTGTTCCTCGCATTTCACATGTGCTGTCAATACTATGACTGACTCGGCTGTGTTGGGGCGCTGTTCGAGAAAGGAGTGCCATTCTGAAGTTCTCTGGTTTCGAAATTCGAAGATGTTGGGGCACGTGTGTGTGTGTGTGTGTGTGTGTCAGTTGTTTACTTGCTGTCTTTTGCATATATATGACCACGCAGGCCAGCCAATTGGAGCCAGGCCGCATCGTCCCAGCTCCTCGACCATATATAATTGTGCATGGGCTGCAGCTCGCCCCAAATGCAGCTTAACATGTGAAATCGTCATTTTATGTAACCTCACCCTGCATGTTTGTAGAACTCCAGCTTTGTCAATGTGTCCTGAATGTATACGATGATTGCGAGCTCAGGTCCCTTCCGTCGCAACCTCGACGTGAAAGGCCTCCTTTTTTGGTTATTTACATATGGAGATGAGGCTGCGTATATAGATGTGTACAGTGTACACATAGGCTGTGCACATGGATGTGCCATGGGATCGACTGCAGGACGACAGATGATCTGGACAGCGCTGGCTGCAGATTTCTTGCAGAGGAGATTGGAAGTGGGGCAATCGCCGCCGCATTGACACATCTTTTCTTATTTCAGTCCTCCACAACATCTTAGGGCGACATGTCATGTACGTGCAATGAATAATGAGTCAATGGCAGGCAATGTCCATCAAAAAAGCGGCGAAGATCGCTGACGCTTTTGTGGGAGATGGCCTCCGTCAGTCAACTGCGCATGAACTGCGACGCAAAGGCCGATCCCGCGACTTTTGGCGGTGGATGAAGCTTCCCTTCGAGCCTTACACAGTGGAGCTCCCCTTGAGCAAAGCCGCCTTGGATCCCCATGTCGTCATGGAAAGCATCAACTTCGTGCTGCCATCTGACATGCTGGGTGAGATGCTTCGACAGAATGTGTGCTTGGTCCTCCTATAGCCAGTACGTTTCTAGGTTTGTTCCTTAAGTGCAAACACATACACCTCGACGTTTGCTTCTTCCTGTCCGAAGGATGGATATTTGCGTCTTCGGTCCCGAAGGACATACATCCTTGGCTACATATTGGGCCGAAGAAAGTACTGACTTCATGCAAAAAATCAAGCTCAACCAGGCCGATGCGGCCTTCGCCATTCCTCTCTTCCTGCATGAAGACGGTGTTCCCAGTTTCCAGGACGAATCCTACTCTTTTTGGAGCTGGAGCTCGCTTTCGCGGCACCAGAGCGCCTACTCCAGGGCCTTCGTGGTGGGTCTGCCTAGCTCTCGTGTGTTGCCGTCCACACGAGCAACAATCTGCGACGCGCTGGCCTGGGATCTGGCAAACTTGGCAAAAGGCGTGCGACCGACCCACGACCACCGTGGAAGGCTGCTGACAGGCAAACGTGCCGAGCTCGCTGGCGAGGACATATGCGGCGGCTATACTGCTCACTTCACTTGGTGGAAGGGGGACATGGAAGCCAGAGTTTCTGCTCACAACCTCATGACTCGGCATTACCGCCACTTGGCGGCACCAAGCATTGAAGTCATCAGCTGCTGCTGTCTCTTGCATGCAAATTGGCATGTTGACTAGTAAGGATGTAAGTTGATCTGCGACCTCTGCTTGGCCACTGCACATCCACGGCTGAGCTATGCAGACTTCTCGAGATCGGCAATGTGGCGACAACTGCAAGGTGGATTGAGTGATGAAGCGGATCAAAGCCACTGGCTTCCCGTCCCGGGATACTCGAGATCGAGGATTCTGTTGGACAGTGCCTTGCCAGCCCTGAAGCTTGAGTTGGACTTATTTCGGATGTCACAATGTTTCTGGAAAATCTACCTGCGCCAAGGTATGCACTTGCTGAATTGCATCCGCCCTGACATCCTGGCTGCTGCTTGGTATACTGCAGAAACACCTGGGCTGCGGCTACAATGAGGTGGACAAAACCTTGCACCGGTTCACCTATCGCGGCAAAGAGTGGGCCAAAACAGTCGGCGAAGAACTCAACATCAAGGACATGTGTTTGCAGAAGATTAAAGTACTCGAATATCATTTCGCATATGTTTTGTCAACTCTTTGGGAGGAACTCACACGAGCCAAAATTGGAATGCCCAACAAGGGCATGGTTCTGAAAAAGTACCCTGAGCTCGACTCGCGAATCAAGGCTCCTCGCAAAAGAATTAACTACATTCGTCGATCCGTGCGAATAGTAAATTGAACCAGGTCGTCAACCATGCAGTGCTTTGTCAACCCAGGCCGCACGAGCAAAGACTTTGCTGCTGTTTTGCACCCACATGGCGATCGCTCTGGACACATGGCAGAAATTCATCAAAGTTTCTGTTCTGCTCCACCGATTGAAGCTATGTTGCACACTTCGCAAGACAATCTTAAGGAGGCCAATCCAAATGATGAGCTGTCTGCTGAGCAGCTCTTTCTGCTGCAGATGGAATGCACGATGCTTTGGGCGCTGTCGACTACACTGCAGATCTGGCTGCAGGGCAGACGTCCTCACCTGACAGACGTTGCTCGGCTGGAGGCTGCAGTATAAATCTGTGAACCCAGTTTTTGAGTTTGGTCGATATCAAGGGATGTTGAACTATGCCTGCGAAGGGCAAAATCAGGGGACACTCTGATGGAGGCTTGTAGCGGTACTCAACAGCAAATTTTTCCTCATACTTGTGGCGAAGAAACTAATCGAACCATCTCGTATAGTCGGTTCCCAGTGCTCGGATAAGGATCAGTGTGAAGCGTCGGCATCGCTCTTCAAGCTGCATTTGGATGCCTATCAATTTTTGGCACTGGATTCCCTGGCCAAAGGGCGCCTTCTCTGGCACATGAGACCTAAGTTTCATTACAGCGACCATCTGCTGGAATGGGCGAAATCTTCGCGAATGAATCCTCAAGCTGTGTCCAACTTTATGGACGAGGATCACATGAAGTTCATGTCCAGAACCGCGGGCATGCACATAGCATGTTTTCCACTTTTTTTTTATGTCCCAAGCCCTAAACCCTCAACCCTACTAAACCACTAGGGGTTAAGGGTTTTGCATGGCGGGGGTTTCAGGGTTTGGGTGTGTAGGGGCTCAGGGGTTTGGAAGGTTTTGCTTTTTTTTTTTATGGGCTTCAGGTGTGTAGGGGCTCAGGGGTTTGGAAGGTTTTGTTTTTTTTACGGGCTTCAGGAATCGCGGCGAGCCTTCACCCGACGACTCTGGGCATGCAGTTCGCGAAGAGGTATGTGCTGAGAAGAGCGATGCAGTTCTCGAAATTGAACGCACCAGGCGGTCGCGAGGAGCTGCAAAAAAGTGTGTGCATTTGCACATAATTTTGCTCTGGAGCCTTGCCGGCCTTGTGCGAGTGTGATTGTCGAAAACCGCCAACAGACAAAGCCTTCACAAAAACGCAGCCAGGTGCAGGACGATTGGTTTCTTCTCGACAAGGACTCTGCTGCACTTATGGGCGAAGGACCGGCTGCTATATATAGCAGCGATAAAAACTACTGTACAGTTGTGCTATATTTAGTATAGTTTCATACAGTCCTGGATTCCAGGACATTGGCAGTTCGCCCCGGCGACGCCGTCATTAATTTGAAATTGGGATGTATGGAATTATCGCTGCGAAATGGATTCAGGAATCGCGGCGAGCTTAACCTGACGACTCTGGGCACGCAGTTCGCGAAGAGGTACTGAGAAGAGCGATGCATGCAATTCGCGAGATTGAACGCACAAAGGCGGTCGCGAGGAGCATGCAAATGTCTGCAGCAGCCAGTGTTTGCTGAAGCTCCTGAAGCCCTGCATGAAGCCAAAGCTCTCCCAAAGCCTGAAGCCCGAGCCTTTAAGAGCTTCGTGCATGCAAGTGTCTGCAGTCGGTCGGTTGTGCTTGCTTGTGATCGACTTGAATTCGTGCATGCAAGTGTCTGCAGTCGGTCGGTTGTGCTTGCTTGTGATCGACTTGAAGGCTTGCTATGCTTGTTCGCCTGGTTGGTCGGTCGCGAGCGAGGATGAGCAAAACTTGATGTGGGAATCTCTCTAACCTGAGGTGAGAGGACACAAGAGTATGGTAAAAACTGAGCTGGCAACTGGCACGTTCGCATCCGACTTGAAGGCTTGCTACGCTTGTTTGCTTGGTTGTTCGGTCGGTCGGTTGTGCTTGGTTGTGACGTATGCGAGTGTTTGCGCTGAAACTCCTGAAAGCCCCTCAAGCCAGAGCTCTCCGATAGCCCCAACCTTTGAGAGTGTCGTCGCGAGTCTTATAAGCCCCTCAAGCCAGACCCATGCTTGATATTCATATATGTCGTACATTCGTTGCTATTACAAACGTGTACGGTGAGGTTTGGCTGCTTAAGCGCCGCCCACCCTAAGTATAGTACATATATTATACTGGCAGCCACGACAGCAAATAAAGCAATATTGCTTTTCATGTAGGGAGAACCACTCAATGCTTTAATTTTGGCTCAGTGCTTTAATTTTGGCTCAGTGCTTTAATTTTGGCTCAATGCTTTAATTTTGGCTCAGTGCTTTTCTTGATTTGCCAGTGCTTTAAATTAAAGCGCCAGGGCCCTGCAGGTACGGCGATGCCTGTCGGAATTTCTGGTTGAAAAGAGAGAGGAGAAGGGCAGAGAGTGCACGAATCAGCTTGCCAGGACGCCCGGCTGTCAGGCAGGCCTTCTTCCAAGCCCAAAAGGGTTGGAGAAAAGGTTTGGTGAGGGGGCAAGCCGTCGTCGCCCACTGCAGTCTACCCAGAGCACTAGCAATCTGAGAGGCCGACATTACTTTGCCACTTTTAAGATCCTCGAGAATCCCAATGACAAGTAGGTGTTTGTCACGGGCCATCTGCACAAATGGCCCTTTGGGATCAATAACAAAGCCGAGCCACGTGTTGACCTCAGCGAGCAGGGTTTTCTTCCAACTCAAGGGTGTGCCGAGGGCAAGTAACAGCAAACAAATGGCCGTCGCAAGGAGGGGGGAGTTCGACTTTCGGAGTAGCCATGCGAAGTCATCCACAAAGACAAAACCCCAATCAACCTCAGGAAAAACAGCGTACACAATTCGAAGAAGGATGGCAGCCATCCGCCCCCAGTAGAGCTGGGCACTGGCCATCCCATAGGTACCTACCGTGTTAACCCACCATTCCTCACCGAGCTGGGCCACTTGGTAACGCCACTCTCTGAGGAGGATCTTGATTCTCCTGTGCGCCTTAGTGACGTCAGCTTTAAGTGGGATCCATTCATCCTCCGAGCCCGGGAAGCACCAGGGTCGGCCGGAGCCGACGCTGGGTTCGTCTGCGTCCCGAGAGCCCTCGCATGACTCACTAGCAACCTCAGTCCTTTGTTGCTTGGGCTCAGGGCCAAGGGCACCTGGCTTGCCACAAGAGCGGGATGCCCGTAGCCAGTGCAGGCACTGTACGCAGTCCATCACCGTCGGGGCCGTGGTTTTCTCCACTGTGTTTTGCTGGATCCGGAGATTAGCACCTCCCTTGGAGCCATCGAAGATGGAACGGATTTTGTCCGATTCATCAATCCCCGCCATCGGGCAGGGGCAGAGTTCGTCCTCCGCACACTGGCAGTGTGCTGCTGCTTCGGCACGTGTGCACGGTCCGATGACCATTCCGAGTGGAGTTTCTTCCACAAAGGTAGCACGAATCTCCTCCCTGAACGTGTCAGCAGAGGAGTAGTTGGCATGGCCAGTGGGAGGTGGTGCCTCCCCCGGGTCCCATTCCTCCCCACTGAGCTCCGATTTCAGAGGCCAGACACCCGGAGATTGCAGAGTCGGGGTATCCACTCCCAGAGGGACCCCTTCCTTGAGAATCCGCGGATATTCAGAGTCGACATCACGGATATCGCACAAGAGCTGCCGGATCACATCCAAGTGGAAGGGTTGCCCTTCATCCGGTTGAGGATGTTGGGGCATGATGAAATCCCGAATTTCCTTAAGGACCGAGTCCGGGAAGGGATGCTGCTTGGCACCCGCGGCCGTAGAGGCAATGAAAGAGGGGAGTAGGGGCCTTGCCTTTTCAATGATGAACTGACCCAGAGCAGGGGCGGGTTCCATTGCGAAGGTGCGGAGGCATCCTACCGGGCAGGTCTTACCACCGCCATCCCTTAGTGGCCTAACCTTGAAGCCATGAGCAACTCTCATGGTGGCATCGTCTAAGGCAAATTTCTCCGAGAGTGGTAGCGTCGAAGGCCGATCAGACCTAACGGGTGGGGTCGCAGTGAGCAATTGATCGCCAGCATGGGTACCTGCACCAGGAGACCCAGCAACGTGACGCATCCCTCCCAGTGAGGGTAGGGAGGGTGTAGCAGCCGCCCCCAGGGGTGCTGACCCTTGAGCCGCCCAGCGAGGACGCTCCTGCCCCAGCGAGGGGCTGACATTGAATGTGGTCTTGGACCCACATGCAGCGTTCTGAGCAGGCTGGGCCGTGGCGCCAAGTCTCTCGGCCAGTGCCGTGGCAATGCTATGCAACGTCGCCTGGCCGCCTCAGGCACGGCACTCTCCTGGCCAAGAGGAGGAGTCCGCGTGTGGGCCGTGTTCTCCCAGTCTTGAAGGGGAAGGTTGGTTACAGCCCCAGAGGGACGACTAACAACCCAACCAAAAGACCGAAGGTCCAAATCTAAGGTCCAAGCACGCAGAGCCGAGGTGGCCCAGGCCGAAGAGGAGCGTCTCTTAGCCGGGGAGATGGCCCCTCGGGCTGGATCCTCAGCCATTTCCAGGAAACAAAAGAATTCAGATGCCTCAGTGCGAGGGGCCGCCTTGAAGGCTAGCCATGCGAGCAGGAGGAACTTAAGGAGCAGGGTGCTTTCTTCATCCGCCGATTGAAGAGTCTCCTCGGGAAGGGCAGTAATGCCCCACGCGTTCTCCGCGGAACGGGTGCGAACCGCCTGAAAGGTACCCGAATCCTGAAACCACCCATCAAACCCAGGTTTTAAGGTCCGGACATCCTCCCACGAAGGAGATGTGTCCTTGCAGCTCTGAGGCACAGAGCGACCCAAAAAGGGTGTCATTAAGGAGGTCCTGACCAGAGGGTTTCCTAGAGGGGTCCAGAGCCAGAACTCTCGAGGAGAGCTCTGGAGCCTGAGCATGGAGAATCGCTTCCAGGGACGAGGCATCATCTCGTCCCGCAAACGGCAAGACTATGGCCCCCTTAGGGATGTCAGCAGTGCACTTGCAAGGAGGCCAATGGAGTCTCCGGATCAGGCGATCGGGGACACCGTTAAGCCACTCTGGAGAGCAACCCGCAGGCAGGATGCCCGGGTAATGCCTCTCAATCCAAAGCCCGAGAGAAAAGGGCTTGTCATCCGAGAGGTCACCACTCGAGGGCTGCAGGGCCTCATGCACAGTGGTCCCACCAGCAGTGGTGGTGTGGGGGGGGCGACCACAGTCGCCGCCTCCAATCCTGCTAGTTCATCAGAGCCGACGGCACCTGAGGCTGGGAATCCTCACTTGTAAGGACAGTTATCTGGGCTGTGCTCGTTCGGGGGAGCATTGCACACCCAGCCATCCTTGGTGACAGGGCAGTTGTGGGAACGTCCACAGTTGCCAGGACACTGCTTCTTAATGTGGTAATCTCTGCAGAAGGGAGTGCCCTTCGGATTATTCCTGGACCAGTTCTGGGGCCAGTAATCCTTGCCCTTACCCTTTGGGCTACCCTTCTTGCCGTCCTTGCCCTTGGTGGCTTGCTTGAAGAAGGGCTGATACACCGGCCAGGTTTGCTTCCCCTTCCATTGGCCCTTGCCTGGCCACTTTGCTGGAAGAGAGCCTTTCTCGCCTTTCGGGGTGCCTTTCTGACCCTTTTCTCCAGGTCGGGATACTCGCTCATAGACCTCCCTGGTCCAGAAGAGGGCATCCGCACGGACTTCCAACATGGCTTCCTTGAGAGATTTGCCCTCATAGACAAGGTTGTGGATGGCCCTCCAAGCATTCCGCTCTGCATAGAGGAGGGTCTTTTCCGATGGTGCTGGGGTCCGACCCGCAATGTCCAGTCCCCAAAACCAATCGTACCAGTCATCCAGATCGTGCTTCGTGGCATCAAACTGGGAGAACTGGGGGAAGGCAAGAAGACACATCGAAAGGTTGTTACGGAAAACACGGTGCATCCTTTCCAGGTGACGTCTGGTGGTAGGGAGCTTGCGCCCCTCCTCCTCCTCTTCTTTGTCCCAGCCATCAACCGTCACCTTCCCCTTCGTTTTGAAGGGTTTCTCTTCAAGCTCCGGAAGGGCACTGATGATAAACTTCGCATTGATGAAGCTAATTTCCCCCCGAGCAGAAACGAAACTGGGCCTTAAGGAGATTGTCACTCCCCTGGCTTCCAGCTTGGGCTTCGGAAGCCCAGTTTCCTTAGTCCAGTCCGTAAGGAGCTGGTGTCTGTCACAAAGGGCTTCCAGGCCGGAGCGGTCTGCAGATGCCTGGCCCGGAGTTATACTAGAGCGAGGAGCATAGAGGTGCTTGGTCATATCTTTAGCCGCCTTGATCGCCTGGAAGAGGCGCATAGCCGTGAAGGCACTGCTCTGATCGGTGAAACCGTTTGTGCCACTGGCGAAGCCTAAGTCCTTAGGGCCGTTGGTTCTGGCCGCTGAGGCGTCATCCCATCGGTCGGCGATGTCCTCCAAGGTGATGTAGCCTTCCTTGGCTAAGACTGCCTGGACAGAGTAAGGGATCTGCTTCCTGGCCAGTAAAGTGGCCACCGACGAGTGGAGTGACGCGATGTCGTCAGCGTACGCGTCCGGGATGGCTTCCGGTGGCTTATAGCTACGGAGACCGGAACAGCCATAGGGAAGGGAGGGTGGGTTCAAATTTTAGCTGGACCCACGGTCCACAATCTTGAGCCAAAATGGCATAGCCATTTTGGCAGACGTCTCCTGACATAAGCCTTGCAATTCGGCAAGCTCTGTTGCAAGTAGCTAATGTCAGATATCCGCATGAAAATGGCACACCAAAAAGCCCCATGCACACAAAGCTCCCCTTCTTTTGCATGGTGGATTGGTGTGGCTGCCGACTCCCGGAATGTTCCTTCGGTCAGGTCTCTCAGCCTGATAGAAAGCGGTCCGAAAGTACAGGAGGGTCCCCTCCCTCAGGGCCTTCGGCACCTGGGGATCGGGAACCCTCCTCGTACCGAATCGAGGGTTCCAAAATCTTGTGCCGTCCAGAAAGAAGCCAAAGCCGAAGGGTGGACGGCACAATCAAACCCCAAAACTGAAAGATGTCGTCCAACTAAGGCAGGTCCTTCGAGGCCAATGCCTTGTCGAGGTCCTTGTAGGTGACCTTCTCCGCTTCAGAGGCTGTGTCCACAGAGTCATCCGTGAAGCTGTTTGAGGAGGGAGATGCACTAGAGTCCTTTGCCGGAGGGACATCTCCCCCTCGAAACTCCGGCAACGAGAACTGCTGAAAACATCTAGCACACAGGGCATAGGAATCCACATCACCCTGGTAGTCGATGGCATTGAGGGGCTCCACCTTGTCCATGGAAGGGCTCCATCCACAGCCAACGGCCCTGAGGTCCTGCTTGTTACCCCGGGCCACCTTAGTCGAGACCGGGGTGAGAGGCCCTTGGGGAGGAGGGACCTCGTCTGCTGGGATTTGGGTCAAGAGCCAACTTGACGCCGGGCTGTCGGCCCCTCAGGGCCAATGGCACCTGCAACGGGGAGCCCAGATCTGCTCCAAATTGGAGGTGACCTTCTCCCAGATGGCACAAACCACGTTCCTCTTCTCCCGCGTGTACACATCAGCGGTGCTTTCGGCCATCCAATTGCCGAGATACTGCCTTTGGTCGCGAGGGACGTGGGCTTGGAAGGCACAGTCCGGCATGAAGACCCGGAAAGAGTGCCAGGCGAGGCCTTCCCAGAATCTCCTGCCTAGACATAGCCGAGCGCAGCCAGTTAAGGGCGCGCTGGGAGGTGGCCGGTCTGGCAATGAAGCCATCATAGTCCTTGCCCACGGTGGGAATGAGGTAGATCCATTGCGTCAAACTTCAGGGTCGCAGCCAATTTTCGCCAGGTGGAGATGAGCGGAGTCCACCAGTCCTTGCCCGAAAAAGAGTACTTCGGGCAGATGAGGGGGACCGGTTTCTTGTGAATCGTCACCGCAGAGTGAGTCTTCGTCTGCCAAGCTGAGAACTCGATGGTAGTGGAGGTCACCTTGAGCGTGTCAGGGCTGGTGTGTTGGAGGTCGCTAAAGCGAGCACTGGAGCCGAGCTGAAATCTCGCAATCCCACAGATGAAGGCATCCATGAGCTCGATCCTCAAAGCCGTGCTGGAGAGAGGGCGAGCTGCAACCTCCTCTGCCTGCACCACGAAGGACTTGGAAGGGACCTGGGCCTTGCGCATTGGGCGGTGGACCGTGCTAACGAGGGACTCCGAGAGGGCTTTCTTCTTCTCAGTGAGCCGAAAGACCTCATCCACAGCAAGGAGCCCAAACTTTTTACCAAACCATTTGAGAGTGTCCCAAACCTGCTGAAGTTTGTGAGGGGACACTTCCTGGTCACGAAGAGTGTTGAGGAGAGCACGAACATCATGCTCTTTCCAGGGTATGGCCGTGAAACCAAGTCTCCTGAGTTCCTCGTACGAGAGGCATCGCATCCGAAGGGTGCGAAACCTGGCGCCCCCAAGGAGATCCATGAATTCACCTTGGAGCTCGAGAGAGATGAGAGTGGTGCGTGAGGGAATTATCGCTGCCATGTGCGGGATCTGTCTGGCCACCGGGAGGAGGTACGACAAGAGCCTCTCTCCCCACTTCTCCCGAAGACCTCTTTCCAGGGCCCGTTGGTTGGTGGAGAGGTGCTCAGATACTTTACCCGGCTTCCAGTGCCTCCACCGACTGACCGTGCAGGGGGTGAGTAGGACCCCTTCTCTGAGGTTTCGCCAGCATAGGCGATCTCGCTCTTTCCGAAAGCAGGTTGGAGGGAGTGCCAGCAGCAACCTTAGTGCAAAGGTCCCACATGGAGAGAAGGAGCGATGTGACTTCCTCCTCCCCTTTAGGTCCTGCAGAAAGAGAAAGGGCGCGTTCCAGAATCGTCTGGAAGACCTGAGTAGGACGGTATGACAGAACCACCGCCCAAGGTGGCCCCTCAGGAACTCCTAGTACTCGGTCCATGGCACATGTGGGCCTGCACCGGGACATGAAATCCACAATTGCCTGACCCCCGGATCGTTGCACATCCACTTGTTCCTCTTCAAAGGAACGGCCCGATCCCCTGAGGATCGGATCAAGTAGCACTCCTGCAAGAGTCTCGCCATCAGACTGGAGGGGGCCAATACTTTGCTCGAACAGAGCTGAAATAAGATGGTCGGGGGCCCGAATCAGGGCTCGCCCGAATGGGGACGGGCAGCCAAAAATAAAAGTAGCCATCCTGAGCCGAGGATACTACGGGAGAAGGGAGAGAGAGAGAGAGAGAGAGAGAGAGAGAGAGAGAGAGAGAGAGAGAGAGAGAGAGAGAGAGAGAGAGAGAGAGAGAGAGAGAGAGAGAGAGAGAGAGAGAGAAAAGGAGAGAGGGAGCAAGCAGTTGCAAGCAGAAGGATCCAGTTTTCGCGATGGGCGGAGGTCTGTAGGGCCGACAAGTAGAGCAAGGAGCAGCCCCCGCTGGGACAAGGGGGGAGCACTGCAGGGCCAAAGGCACCTGGGTTTCCCCCCCCAGGGAAGCATCTCAGGGCCAAAGGTAGTTGGGGAGAGATTCCCAACAAGAAACGGCCGAGACTAGAAGGGAGAGGAACCCCCTTCAGGACCATCGGCACCTGGCAGGGGTTGCCCCTCCAGTGCCCTTACAAAAAGGTGGGAGCTCAGGCCGGGCGAACCCCGGATGCAGCCATCTCGTGGATCTTCTTGACGCCGTCCTTCTCCGGGTTGCAGAGCACCACAGACCAAATCAGATCCGAGACATGGCCCATGAGGTTCGTCTTGCTGAACCGGAGCCTGGAGGGAACGATCGCGACAGCCCGCCGTGGGCTCCACCCTCTTGTAAAACTCAATCCGATCCTTGACCCAAGCCTCATACAGATGCTGTGGGGGCTCATCCAAAATGAGCTGGATCTGAGCAGCCTTGCCCCGGTGTTCCCCCGTGATCAAGAGGAATCTGCTTGCGCCTCTGTTGCTACGCCAGAACCCACGGCAGTGGCGGCAAACGTAGCCTCCCCGAGTCTCGCCCTTCTTCTTGTCCACCATTTTTCAGGGGGAAACGGAGCTGAGCACCAAGCCACACTCCATCCTCGCCCAGAAGACATGGGCAGTTTTGTCACCCGCATTCTTCTTTTTGTAGTCGTCCGAGGCCACGCTCGAGACATTGTCCGGGGTGATGGGCGGGAGGGCGTGCTCCTGGTCCGACCCGTGGTGCAAGGGAATCCTTTCAGCGCCAAAGGCAGCTGCGGTGTCCAAGTCCCCCAGGCCAAGACCCTGGATGTAGCTCTCCGCGTGGCCCAGCTTGCGGTAGATGGGGCCCGCGTACTCCGGCTTGAGGCGGGCTGTCCACCGCTGCTCAGTATTGCAGCGCCACGCCATTTTGACCTCCACCACCGCCTCCTGGCCCAGGGAGGTGGAGAGGGAGTTGTAGACCTCCGGGAAGTCCCTGAACGCCTTGAGGGGCAGGGTAATCCTTTCGTCGCAGACGGCTCGCAGCCGGAGATGCTCCCGCGAATCGTGAATGTCCGCAACAGGGAGGTCTAAGACCACTTGGGGCGTGCGGCTGATGAAAACCTTGGCAGCAAAGAAACTTCCCATCTCGCGATAGAGCTGCTTCCACTCCAGGTCCGTCGTGGGCGGAGGGAGGTCGTTGAGCATGATGAAATTCTTGGCCTCCTTCAAAAGCTGACGATGGTCATCACGTCTTTGAAGGTTCTGTTGCTTATTCTTTTCCCCCCTCTTGTGTGGCCTGACTGTGATCGGCAGGTGGCTCCAGACAGCGTAGAGTGTAGAGGTGCCTGGCTGTGTAAGTGTGGCCAAAGCAGGAGAAGAGGCTTACCAGATCCCACGTCTGCATGGGTGCCATCCTCCCCCTTCGCATGGAAGGGCCCCATGATGTCACTCAGGGCCGGTCTTGTGCCCATGGCAACCTGGGCCTCAATCTCCTCCATGGTGAGGGCGATCGGCTCGAAGAAAGGCTGCCTGAAGGAGCTGGGATGGGTCCTCATCTCCAGCATGAGCTTCTCCGCCTCCGGGAGCGGCTTGGCCCAAGATGGGGCATCCAGGGGGCCCCGCATCTTCTTCCACTTGCCCCCGATCATTCGCTGCTCCCCCATGTGCAGCTCGATGATCCGCTTGAGGCGCAAAATCTGGAACTCGACCGAGCCCACTGCGACGCAGAAGAGCTTCAGGAGACTGCTCCTCAGGGCCAAAGGCGTCTGTGGAAGACAGTCCCCCGCCAGACTCCCGCGCGACACTGTCACCCTCTCGCTGAAGAGCAGCCAAAGTGGGCAACTCCTGAAGCAGGGAGGCTGGGAAGGGGTTCCGATTCTGACCCAGGAGGAACTTGGTGTTCAAGTACCTCTACTTCGTGGTCTCGATGTCATCGAGCTCCATCTCCTTAAGGGGCGCCTCCGGATTGAAAACGTTCATCTCGAGGGCCGCGCGCAACTGCGGGCCCCAGGTGTCAATGGAGTCGACCTGGGGGCGGAGGATCTGCGAGCGCGCCGCCCCTTCCTCCTGCATGCGCTTGTTGGACGCCTTGGCCTCCTCGAGGGTAGTCTGCGCTGCGAAAACTCCTCACCCTGGTTCCCAGGGCCTTGCAAGTAGTTGCGCTTGAGCAGCGAGTGCAACTTCTCCGTGTCAAGGTGCCGGAGGATAGCGGCCCCTTTGGGCTCGTCCACACTCTGCGCGCCCGCCTGCATCTCCACCATCACGTCCAGCTGAGGGTTGACGCGCTCGAGGAACTCCTCCTCCGTGGGCTTCCTTGGCTCTTTTGCCACCGGGCCCGCGCTTTTCTTTTGGATGTCCAGGGCTGCTGCGAGTTGGGGGTGAAAAGCCCTGGTCTCCTGGCTCGCCTGCCAGTCTTCCTGGAGGTGTGGTCGCGACCCCACCCCCTGTTCAGCAAACTGCACCTCGTCAAAGGGCTGGCTCGCCACCGTGTGCGCCAGGCTGAGCCTCAGGGCCATGGGCACCTGGTCGGCAAAGCTTAGCTCCTTCTGGTCCGTGGGCTTCGGTGGTGGCTGTGCCCAGGAGCCAATGTCCACGGAGGCAGCCTCCCTCTGGGCCTCATCAGCATCTGTGTGCCAAGACACACCCTGCGAGCCACAGTACATCCACCAGGAGGATGAGCCCAGCTTGATCTCGGCCGATGGGGGGCCTTTGTCCACGGCAATGACAAACTTCTGGCAAAGCTTGCACTTGCCCTCGACCTTGTTGTCCTGCCTCTGCCAGTCGGCGAAGCAGCTGGGGCACATGAGAGTAGCCCCCGTGGACCCGGGGTCTAGTTGACCCACCACACCTCTGCGGGCACGGTTGAACGGTGCGGCCAACATCTTCTGCTGGGCCACCTGCCTCTTGTAGATCTGGTACACCTCAAGGACTCGTTCCACAGCCGGGCGGGTCCAGGTCTCGGTCTTCAACTGGGAGAAAAGGGAGGCGATTTCCTCCTTGGTCAACTGCTGTGCCATCTCGGCACTCCTCTTGCCAATGCCCGGGAAGTCATCCGGGAAGCCCTCGATCTTGAAGACCTTCTCCTCCAGGGTGCCGGCGGGAAGGGATGAGTAAGGCCTGGCCCTGGCAGAATCAGCACTGCCCATAGCCACATCTGAAGTACCTCCCTCAGGGACGAAGTCACCTGTGGTCGGCACCTCAGGGACAAAGTCACCTGGGGCAGCGGGGGGGTCCAAGTCCATGGCCTCCTCGCTGACCACTTCCTCCTTGACCTCCACCTTCTCAACCCCTTTATTCATGAGGCGAGCCATAGCCGCATTCATCTCCTGGATCCTCATATCCAGCGAGGTGCTATCCAGGTCCACCGTGGTGAAGGAGCTCAGGGTGGAGTTCGCGGCCTCGTCGTCATGGGCCGCAACATTGTGTGCCAGGGTAGCACGGGCCAGAGCAATGTCGTCGTCCGGCTTCTCCCACTCCGGGTCACTGTCCCCTGTGTTGTGTGGCGACACCAAGCTCTCGATCGTCTCCATGCTGGAGGCCAGGACGTCGTCGACATTAACACCCGCGGCGGAGGCCATGATCAACGGTCGCAAGGGGAAACAGGAGTGATCTTCAAATTTTAGCTGGACCCACGGTCCACAATCTTGAGCCAAAATGGCATAGCCATTTTGGCAGACGTCTCCTGACATAAGCCTTGCAATTCGGCAAGCTCTGTTGCAAGTAGCTACGATTTCTAGAGAAGGAGCACTCCAGGAAGGAGATCGCTTTCTGCCAGACGGGCGCAGTCGCTAAGTAGGTTGTGGCCTGTGCTTGGTCGGGCCTGAGTTAGTAGTCATCCTCAATGAAACGTTTTGGCACGGCAGCTGCTCAGAAACGACAGCAACGACTACGACAACCAAACGGCGCTAACAAGGACGAGGTTTCAGGTGCTGTGCCTGGCCTGTGAGTGCCAAGGTTGTGTTGGGCTACATTGCTAACATTGCTACATGCTACTGCTTGCCCCGACAGTAAGTAACAGTAAGTAAGGCCTGGCCGGCAGTCGCATGCCAGACGTGGCAAAACGCAAGAAACGAAACGGAGAGAAGTTGAAGCACAGTGGCTGATTTTCTGGGCTCCAAGCTCGCCCGCAACTCCGTGGTGCGTTCGACTGCTGCGAACTCCGGGTGCCAGGCCTCACGGGCCGCGACACGACCCGACACCGCAAGTGAACCGCTTTGTTTTTTGTGGAGGGGCGGGGGCTTTGGCTCTGCCGCTTTGCTTCAGCCGAATGGCGCAGTCGTCGCAAATTCTACGTCATACGAGTCATACGTGCAAGTCACAGTCCGTGAAGCTCTTACTCTGAATTTCTCGGAATGCCGGTCGCTGCACCAAGGACCTTGGCTCTGTTTGACCCAATCGCGGCGACGCCTGGGCGAAGAGCACCGGCAGCTTCTCCTCGGCCTGGAGGCTCGCCTCACAGCCGCCCAGCAAAACGCGAGAGCGCAAACGCTCCCCGCCGCTCCTCTAAGCAGACGTCGAAGACCACCGGCCTGCAGAGTGCGGAGCTATGCGGAGCTCCCGGGGAACTCAAAACACGCCGTTCTTACTCTGCAGCGGTGAAGGGCCCGGGCTCTCCGGCTCTCAGCGGCGTGGGCTCCTCTCCGGCGACCTCAGGCAGACGAAAAGCAACAGACGACCCGTGAACTTCAGTGAAACTTCTGGGCTCCGCTGCCGTGAGGCGAGCGCCATCCTGCCCCAGGCCCAAGGCCAAATGCATGACCTATACAGACAGCGGTTGCGCGGCCTTTGCCGCCACCAGAATGCCCACGTTCGCATTCGTCGTGCATGCCTCGGGATCCACGGAATGCCAACTCCGCAGAGCTTCATTGACCAGGAGACTTCGAGGCATCTGCATCCAAAGACTGCTTCTTGCCTTCCTGAATGAGCATTTCCGCTCTGAGGGTTTCCAGCGGCGGGAGGCTTCTGAGCGGAAGCCTTGAGGACGAGGAGGCGCGTTTCGCCGAAACCGTTCGATTGGATGTCCGCAATCTGCAAAAGCACGGGCATGAACCCGTGCCGCACAAACACACAGCCATGAAGTCTCATCGAAAGAAGACTCGGACTGCAATCCTTGGAGAGCTTCTCGCACACCTTGCTGAGCTCCTCCTCGCAAGAAGCCCAACAAGCTTTACTCAGCTTGCCAATGTTTGGGATTGGGGGCAACTTTGTGCGGCCCTCTCCTTGCACCCTGAGCCAGTCTTTGTTCGCTTGATCAGGGAAGCTGCCTCAAATGCTCCAGACTCGCGCAAGGAGCTTGCTGCGCCCGCTGCCAGGACAGGCCTGGCTTGCTGCCAAGCCAGAAATTGCCTTCGCCGCGCCCGATTCCACCAACTCCTGAATGAAAAACAGACTGCCGATGGAAAGCGGCCGAAGTGATGATATCAATTCGCAAACTGTCATCCTTGGCGACGGCGAGCTGCTCGAATGGTACAACCGGCTGCATGAAGAGGGCACGAACCTCTGCAAAGAAACGATCCTTTGCCACGGTGCTCCGGATCCAGCTGGGCAAGGCACATACATCATGCTGCCGCCCTTGCTCTTGGCCTGACAGGGTCTGATATGGTAACAGGTATCTCAGTACATGTCTGAACGCACAGGGCACCTTGCTAACATCCAGCCGGCGCTTCTTGGTCTTCTGCATCGGATCAACGCCCTGAGCTGCAAAGCTCTTCCCCAGGCGGTGCAGTAAGGCCTGGCTCTTACCACTAGTTGGAGCCCTCCTTGACGGCTAGAATATGATGCGATGACGATAGAGATGCTTTGTCTGCATCACTCTGCACTCTGATTGTCGGTTTGTGTCAACCGAGAACGGAAAGCTGTGCTTCAGAGCCCAGAGCCTCAAAGCCGAGGGGCCGCGACTTGCGCGTCGAGCGAGTCAAGGGAGCTCTCAACGACCTCCATGAAGCCGAAGACCTGGCAGTCCAAAACGCACCTCAAACAAACCTTCTGAACAAATAGTGAGAGGGAGAGAGGGGAGGGAAGAGGCAGATAGACTCAAAGAGAACGCGACAGGCAAACAGAGCGAAATGCTCGCATACATGTTTACCAGCAGAACGCACCAACTACCAATGAATATACGTTCCATGTACAACATATAAGCAAACATATACACAATAGCGCCAGACTTTAAACATACATACACTCGTATACATGCATAATCTGCATAATCACATAATCAGATACGCACATTCAATACTGCACAAAAGCACACATGCACACAAAATCACACAAACAAACAAGCCGAGAAACAGGCAAACAGACAGACAGATGGACAGGCAAATAGACAGGCAGACAGACTCTCTACCCCTGCCTCGCGGAGTCCAGGGACTTGCGTCATCAGAGACGGAAGGAACTGCCCTGTCTTCCCAAGGCCTGCGGGGAGAGCCCATGCGCAGGAGAGCCTCCTATGTGTAGCACTCTTCGAAGAAGCTGTTTGCTCGGAACCTGGGATCTCTTCCACGAACTTTTCCAAAGGAACGGCCTGCAGGCTTGAGTAACCCTAACAACATGCAGGCTGACCTCGAAAGGAGCCTGGCCACTTTGGCTCATCTGCTGATGGACTCTCTTGAGCACCTGCGTGGGGACTGGAAGCCCGAAAGCTCGGAAGCTTCGGACGTTGTGGTACGTTCTGTCTTGACCCAGCACACCATGAAACTGCAGGCCGCATTTGGGACATCAGAATCGTCTCGTGCCCTCTGTGCTGAGGAAGTCCCTGGCAAGCTGCAACGTCTGGTCCGCGAAGACAGAGGTCTGCACTGCATACTTATTGTAACGCCTGCAGCTGTCATAGGCTTGGAAGAAGCCGCCCAGCTCCTGCAGAGCACACAACATCGAACAGCAGCTCCGACCGACTGTTGTGGGTGTCCAGTGAGAACTCGTGAGAAGTGATGAGGACTCAGTCGGAAGTTGCCTGGGAGGCAGCTGCTTTTCCAGGCGGAGCTTCGTGAGCCAATGTCCATGATGCAGACCTCACATCATTGAGGCAAGCTGGAGGCACAAAGCAGAAGTCTGGGTCCCACGACCAAGGCCGGCGCTCCTCGGTGTCCTCCAACATGAGCCAACTTTGGAAGACGCCCAAATTGCGACCTCGCGACAAACTCCTGTGTAGGCCGGTGCAGCCTTGTGCCCTTAACATCAGCCAAGAACTTCAAGTCCCACCCGCCCCCCCCCTTCCTGCAACGGAACACGGCCCCCAAGCGACATCATCTGTTTTGCGTCGAAACCAGTGATGGCGAGACAGGGGTGCACTAGGCTTGCGACCTTCTGCATACTCCACGTGTAGACCACCTTCCCTATCGGGAAGCGATGCCCCGGACCAGTCGTCCTGAAGGGCTGTTCGCATGGCGTGGCATTGCCAACATTTGCCACATCTGAGCCGAAGACTGCTGCGAGGCCTGCGAGGCCTTCATCCGTCGGCTCCTGGCTCGCGCAGCCGCGCAGCGTCAGGACATTGACATGATTTCAACGCATCCTGGGTCCCTCGCACTCCGTCGTCGAAGCAATTCTCCCACAGTTTCTGGGAGAACAATGATCCAACGGACCTCGATAGACAGGATAAGCCAAACGCCCGACAAAGCGAGGGCCGTGGAGGCTGCGGATTCTGTGGACGGTGAGCGTGGCAGCGGCAGAACAAACGAAAACGAGGCCCATGAGGCCTCCTGAGACCAAGGCTTTGCCAGGGAAGTGATGCAAGGCGTTGCGGAGGGCCAATCGACCCGCTGCCTTGCGAAAACTCCGGAGAACAACCAAAAGCAACTTTGTCTTGCACTCCTGAAGTCGCCCAGCGCCTGCAGATGGCAATCATCCGCAATCACGCTGGTTCGCCGATTTGCGGAACGACGCAGCAATTCTGGCAGTTCCTCGTGAAGACAGGGGGCAGCTGGGCCCACTTGTCGGCTGCGTCTTCGTGCGACCAAAGCGCGGATGCCAGAAGATCGCGGGCACGGCGGAAAGTCCAGGCCTTCGTTCGTGTTGCTGGCGAGGGAGGCGCGGCCTTCCGTGCTATTGAAGTGTGCTTCGTGCTTGCCTCGCTGGGCTTTCGGCTTTCGGCCTGCGACACCAGAAGGCCCAGGGAAGACTTGAAAACTGTCTACAGTGGAAGCCTTCTGTTTGCTCTGTTTGCTCTGGGTCCGGTCCCGCCGGGCCTCCTCCGGAGCGCTGAAGGCTTTCAGCAAGCGCTCGGCAAAGAGTCTGCGACCCTGAAACGAGCGTGGCTTCAGGGCTTCAAGGGCCTTTAAGGGTTTTTCCGTGTTAAGGTTTTACTGTCTCGCGGCCTCGTTCCCAAGCGCATCGGAGCTAGACTCAGTCGGCACAGACATCTGGGCCGGACTTCCTCCCTTCGGCTCAGGCTGCGCTGAAACCTGCAGACACACGGTGTGCAAAGTGCAGACATGTCGAGCCTTACATTGCCGACATGCGACTGATTGACTCCAGGGTGCAAGAGCTGACTTTAGGAAACTGAGCCGGGTCATACAACCCCACTGGCAGGCTGGCTCCAACATCATTGTACACTTCCGAGACTGTGCTTGTGTATGCACGGGACTGCAGGGTGTCTTGCCCATAGTTCAATGGAAGAGAACAACCTGAGATACGCACTGTAGCCGTATACTAATTGTAGTAACATTTTGAGCATGGAGTCTGCACGAGGGCCTTTCATCCAGCTAGATCGCCTCCGAAGCCCTCGTTTCCAAACCGGAACTTTCTAGCTTGACGATGTGAGCTGAGATCAGGGTAGCTTCGTGCGCAAGCAAGCAAAAGCCGCCCATGCCAAAATGTATCCATGCAGGCTAACTGCAACCAATGGCTATGTATGGCAGTCTGGCTGAAATCCTGTCACGGGCCACGGGATTGTAGGACACCTCAAAAAAGTCGGCAAAGACATAGTAACAGACTGCCCCTTGGGCACTGTCGCCTCGGAGCAGAAGGTGGCTCGGTGATGCAACCACTCAGCTCCGAGAACCTCGGAGCACAGCGCAGCAAACCCTGCGAATATCCAAAGCCATCTTGGCCCACCTGCTGCCTGCTAAGTGCCTTAATTAAGAGTCTCGCATGGTTCCTCATTAGCATCCTTGAGACGCATTTACGGATCGTTTAGCTGCACCCCTAAGCCTTACTTTGGCCTGGCCTGGAAGGTTTTGCCTGCCGCGTGCTGCCGGGCCCAGGTGGATTTGCCAGCGCCGGGAGGTCCGCACAAAATCACGGCCTGACTGAAGAGGACAACAGCTTCAAAAGATGCACCCTAGACCAAACATCTCAACACAAACCCTTAAGCCCTTCTGAAGCCTGAAACATGAAACGGACTCAAGAGCCCCCTCTTCATCTCATAGAACCTTCCAACACCCCACGGCCTCCGGGATTGGAGCACATGGCAAACGTTGCGCCGGGCGCATGTCAAGCAGCCTGGGGAGTCTCATCAACTGAAAACGGGAAAGGAAAGGCGAACAAAAACCATAAGTCTTCAGATTCTTCCGTGCACGTACATGCTGTACCATGTTCGGCGCGGAGCTCCACTTCCACACCAGCCCGCAGGGCGAAGAAAGGATAGTAGGCCTCGATCGAGCAAATTGAAAGCCAAGCTAGATTGCGTTACAAGCCTGGCAGTATCGACATCTTGCATCCTGACTGCCTTGACGGAGAACTGAGAACGAGAACAGCCTGACTCTCAGCAATCCCTCAAGCCGAAATCTCCCAACATCTCCCAACACCCGCAATGGACCCAAAGGGAAATGCAGCTGTTGGGACTCCGGCCGTGTCTCGGAGCCGCTGTGAAGCGTGGCTTCCACGACCTGCTGTGTCTTTTCGGATAGGAAGCCGCTTGGCCTCGGGAGCAGCTACGCTACTCGTGCAAGAAAAGAGGCAGAAGCCCATTCGAATCATGCGGAAACTTCTGGAGCCCGCCTCGCCCTCCACCTTGTCATCGCCTGGATACGGCAGCTTGTCTCGACTTATTGGAAGCCCAATACGCCAGATCCTGCATGTTTCACATCAGCAAGCCCCAGACACTCCTCCGACCCTTGAAGCGGCCAAGAACCCAAAAACACCCCCAGCATCTGAAGGGTCGTTTGGCTTCAGAAGGCCTCACAAACCAGAAGCAGTGATGCGAGACCGCGAGAAGACCCTCCGGCCTTCGATGCGAAAACAGAGTCGTCTCATGTCGAGGTCCATGATTACTTCGATGAGATCCTGAACCTGCCGACCGTATGCTGCTGTCGTCGACGCGATATACTATGAAGGCTAGCTCGCCTGTCTTTTGCCTCCCCTCCCTCCCTCCCCACCTTCAGAGCCCGCGGCAACAACGGAGCTCGGAGCAGGGCTGAAGAGAGATTCGAGGAAAAGAGCTGCTCTCCGGTGTCCTTGCACCAGACAAAGTGCGTGCGCGAAGAGAAGGAGGCAGAGAGAGAGAGAGAGGTGCATTCTACCTCACCGTAACGACGATTTGCAGCTAAGAGCGGTCACTCCGCTTGAAATTGCATCGATAAGGCCAAGTGACCGTGAGCAGGGCCAGGGCCGGCTGTTGCGCTGAGCCCTGCGACATGCGATGCACGGCAAAGCTGTAGCCCAAGAAGAGAAGAGTGGGCCTCCGGGCCGGGCATCGGATGGCAGCCTGGCCACTGGGCCAGGACCCCAAAGAGGAGCGAGACAGAAGTCGAAGCAGTCGTTGAGGGAAGTCGCAAGATGCGAAGCTTCCACTTCTGCCGGCCCTGATACGCTGCATGCGCTCCTCGGCCCAGAGCCCAAACCTCTGGCGTGGATGTTTTCACCACCAAACCGCGTCCACTGCCTGGGATCTCCTCAAGGAGCAGGTCACTCAAGGACCAGTCCAAGGCCAGAGCCGGCGCCGCGGCCGTAGCGGCCGTAGCACCTTGCGTAGTTGGGGCCTCCGGTGGTGGCAGGTCGCTGCGCACTTGCTCGCCGTCGGAGGAAGCAGCTTCCTCTGTGTTCTCCTCGTCCTCCTCTTCGTCGGAGGCGAAGGCGAGGAAGCCGTCACTAGTGGCCTCCTCGGCCTCTGTGAGGAGCCGCTTGCCGCAGCGCTTTCTCGGGCTGTCCATCGGCTCCCCAGGCTCCCCAGGCTCGGCAGCCTGGTCCAGCTGTGGCCGGAGATCTCCATGAAGTCTCGCAAACCGCCATGGGCCATGGAAGCGAAGCCGGCAGCTACGAGTAGCAGCCACTCCGTCTGAAGTTGTTGAGGTCGCCTCGCGCCTAAAGTTGGATGAACACTTCAGATCCTACTCAAACCTGCGCATGCGAGATGGCTCTGTGGGATAGGGCTCTGTGGCCAACCTAGCTTACAAACGACTTCAAGCGCACTCTTAGTTATGTCTTCAACCCAACTCGACGGCAACTATCTTCGCCTCTGATTCTCGCACACATCATGTTGTATCAGGTGCAGATCGTGACTGCTTGTTCTGGTCTCAGCTTTAAGCTCAGTTCTAGACTAGTGTGCGCACAGCAGTGCCGCAAACAGGAAGGTGGAGGGCACCGTCTTCACGTTCCTTTCTAGGACTTCGCGGCAACGCCGCAGCTGGGTCCCTGCCTGAGTCGGAGCTCTCACCTCCTGTGCATTGACTGGAACGACCAGCAAAAATATTTGGCGTGGCCTGCGTGAGCTCATGCTTCTTCATGAAGTCTGCAGCTTGCTTCCTGGACAGACACAGCTTCGTTGCCGCAATTCTATGCTTTCTCAGTATGCTAGCAAGGCGCGTGAGAGCAATCGGCGCCAGGTCGGGATTCTTCAACATCATCTGTCAGAGCAGACTGTCAGCAATCTCAATCAGCAGTTATTGGAGACCATTTTGTGCGACTCGCACCCTTGTGAGGCCTCCTCACTTGGCACGTTCATCTCGGAGATCGCGCTCTCCAGACGCCTCTTCGCCATCACCCAGTTCGCCTCAAGGGAAACGCGGGAGTCGCAGGACATCGCAGGGCTGCGAATCACGCGCCCATGTGCCTTCTTCAGCTCACAGAGGCCGCAGCCTGCAAGAGCTCACAGGCAGCCAGGAATGACCCCTCACACTCTCAAGACACCGACCATGCGGGCCTAGGAGAGTGCGAGCTCGATAGCTGGAAGCGCTGGAGTCGCCTGGCAAGAGCTTGCAGCGCTGGATTTCGCGGCTAGAAAAGTTCGAGACTCTCTTTAGGCCTTTCCCAGCCATGGCTTTCAGCAGCTTCTGCGAAGGCAAGGGAGTTCGACGTCGAATTCACACGAGTGGCTCTGGGAAAGCACGGCGTAAACAGTTCGTTTGCTGAGCCTCGCGGCTTTCGCAAGCTGCATCGCTGTGCGGGTTCTCATCATTTTCAATGTCGTTGAAAAGATCCTGGCCACGGCCACGGCAAGCTCAACTCGAGGAAGCTCCATCTCTCACCGAATGGCTTGGGGCTAGTGCCAACATCGTCACATAACGTGCAATGCTTCCGTTCGCAGCAACATGACCCACCGTGAAATTAGACAGATTTAACAGTTAAATCGCACCCAGGCCTTTCCATCATCATCCAGCCATTTCGGTGCTTCCATTTTCTGCCTGTCCGCAGCATGAAGCGATGGAGAAAGGAAATCAAACGTGACTGAAGTCCCAGTGCTTTTGTGCTGCTGAGTGGCGGCCGCTGCCCCTCAGGATCAAGGAGTCAATGACCATCCCGAACCCAGGGAAAAACAGTCTCACGACATATCACGACATGTTTGCGAGGTCCTGGGCACTTGCCAGGGTGAAGACCAAGGGTGCCGGAAGCAGCCATGCCTGGGGCAGAGAATTGCGTTTGCTTGCAAGGAGCTCCTCAACACGAACAGTATGCCGGTCTGTCGAGTTCCGTACCAGATTGCGCATGTCCCTTCCCCTTGGGCCGGCCCGCTGCGCTCCCACGGCTCTTGCCCTGAAATAAACAGCTGAGGCACGTGGGCAGCACTTGGAACATGCAGGCTTTCGGAATGTGAACAACACAACTTCGCTACTCGGCTACACCTTCGTGATTGTGTGTGTGTGTGTGTATGATAGAAATCTCTGCCTTAGCTTGTTAGCAGCATGCATCGAGTTTTTTGACAACCATAGACCAGGATCCTGAAGCTCTCAAACCCCAAATCCCCCTAGTATAGTACCCTGAATAGTAATTAGGATCCTTATTAAGGACCCAACAGAAGGTACCCCTACTTTCGGAAACTCCCAAATGCTGCCCCGAAGACCAGAAGAGCAGGACCCTAAACACGTTACGGTACCTTGCAATTTGGGCTTAACGCTTCGGATTTAAAGCTTCAGGTTTTAAAGGGGAATGAGTACAGCACTTAGAGCCTTAAACTTCGCGGAAACCCCAGTGGAGGGCTCAGGATTCCTGCAGCAAAACGGCGAGAGTTTCGGAATCCGCCCGAAGGCAAGCAACAAAGGTGAAGGCAAGCGGGAAAAGTGAAGACTTCATATCCGGTCGCTTTGACGGGCTTAGGATTCCTGCGGCAAATCGGGGAGAGTTTCGGGATTCGCCCGAAGGCAATGGGTGGAGGGTTGAAGATTTGACATGGGTTTCGACCAGAAACAGAGGAAATAAGAAATCCAAGGGCTGGATGTCTTATTTCCTGCTTTTTTGGCCGGACCAAAGACACTGGAAATAAGAAATCCAGGGACGAGGAAAGCCACGCCGGGTCGGGCCAGGCTTTGTCATGTAGATCGTAACTCTTCCGCTAAGTCAACAACTGAAAAATGAAGGACCATTGTCTAGGGGCCTTCAAGATTAGGATAGTTTTGGCGGGGTATAAAGTAATGTAAACATATAACAGGAATCTCGTGCTACTACCAGTCGCCCTTATTCTGAGATTACGTCCCGAAGCCTTTTCATGCTCCTTTATCCTCCTGCGTCAGCAGCAAGGCCCTAGTGCCGAGGGTCGCCGAAGATGCTCGTAGCATCCGGGCTCCATGCGCCTGATCTTTACGTCCTTCTTTTCTTTGCAGCGCCAGGCTTATCTGTTTAAGCCCCTGATCTAAACAGATTCAGAACCTTACAGCGCTCTGCCCGCGGCGCAACCGAAGATTTCTGGCTTGAGCGGTTTGGGATTGTTCAAGCATTCATTCTAGTGGCAGGGATTCAAAACTTCGACCCGAGAAAGCCTAAATCCAAGACTCTAACCCCTTGTTTTTTCTGGTTTAGGGTTCAACCATTAGGAAGTGGGGCTCTGCCGCAAGGAACCGAAGGTTTATGGCTGTCAGTCTGTAAGAGTTCTTACATGTAAGGGCTGCTTTAGAATGGCTCTTATAGGAATCAGAAGGTAGGTGGCAATGCGACCAGGCCAAAGCTCCGTTTGGCTGGTCGGGGGGATCCTTCCGAAGGACGGCATATGAATTCTACACTCAGCGCCAATGTCAGGTGAGATTCGGCTGACTGGGTGCATCTTGTCGTGGTCAGCACCACGGTGCAAATCTTCCAACTTGAGCTCTGGACTACAGCTGCTCGGGCTCAGGGACAAGGGGGAGAGATGAGGGCTTCGCGATATGGTTTGCGGGCCAACGATGTCTAGATACGGTAACAGCAGAAAACTGCAATCCAAGAGCTCGGAACCGGACTTGTAACCCTAATGATGCCCTAATGGCAACTACTTGTGCCAGGGCCTCTGCAAGCATGGGGCATCGAATGCCAAGCAAGCCTCCTGCTGATGGCTTAAGATTTCAGACCTCTAAACCCTCAACCCTGAACCCTAAGCCGCAACTGAGATTGCTGGCCCCTATACCCTGATTCCTGCTCTGAACCCTAGACCCCCATTCCTGAACCCGGTGGCTTGCAACACTCAACCTTAGACTTAGTTTGAAGCTACGGAATCAAACACCACATGTCACCCACCAGAAATGCGCACCCTGCAGGCTCTCGAAGCCCTAAAGTTTACACATACCCGTCTGTTGAAGTAGTGAGTACTGGGCTCTCTGAGACCTCTCAACCCCCAAGCGCACCCTCTTTTTCAGCCCATTAGGATCCTCTGTCAACCCTCACGAACCTAGGCTCGCACTCTAAACCATCAAAACACTTGCTCGAATCCTCCTAAAACTTCAAGAGTCCCAACCCGTGTTACACCCCGTCAGGATCCTTTTATCATTGAACCCTTCCAGATCCAAAGCCCGCATCAATGCTAAACCTTAAACTCTAGACCCTACACTCTACATAAATCCAAAGCTCAAAACTTTAAACTCTAGACCCTAAGCTCTCTTAAATTCTAAAACCCAAGCGCGCAGGAAGCTCGTGAAGCTCTGGCCCCCTCAATTCCCAAGTCGTCCGCGGGCCAAAGCCGCGGCGACTCAACTGGAGACCTGACGCAGTTGATGAGGATTTCTAGGGGCCTTAATAGCTAGAATAGTGTTCCTGTAATTTAAAGGGTATTAGAAGGGCTCCTTTAAGGGTTCAGCCTTGATAATCAGAATAGGGTTTTGGGGTAGGGTTCAGCAGGGGTCGGGTTGGGGGGCTAACAATGTGAGTGTTTTTTCGGGATATGCTGCGCTGATGTACTGCTAAAAAGTCGAGCAGTTGCTGATGACCTGCTTCGTAAATCCCCACCAGTAGCCCTAACCGTAGCCGTCGCCGTAGCAGTGGCAGCCGCAGTAGCAGTAGCAGTTGCAGTCGCAGGCGCAGCCGCAGTCGGAGCAGCTGGAGCAAAGGCAGCAATAGTCGGCGTAGACATAGTAGTAGGAGAAGTAGTAGTAGTAGTAGTAGTCGTCGTCGTCGTCGTCGTAGTCGTAGTAACAGCAGCAGGAGTGGCACTAGCAGTAGTAGTAGTAGTAGTAGTAGTAGTAGTAGTAGTAGTAGTAGTAGTAGTAATAGTAGTAGTAGTAGTAGTAGTAGTAGTAGTAGTAGTAGTAGTAGTAGTAGTAGTAGTAGTAGTAGTAGTAGTAGTAGTAGTAGTAGTAGTAGTAGTAGTAGTAGTAGTAGTAGTAGTAGTAGTAGTAGTAGTAGTAGTAGTAGTAGTAGTAGTAGTAGTAGTAGTAGTAGTAGTAGTAGGCACGCCCCCCCCCCCCTACCAACTACACTTGCTCTCAACCATGTTAAGACAACATCCATTTTACTCGGTATTTACGGCACTTTCGTCATGTGCGATCATCCTAAGAGGCCTAAAAATCGACTTGTCGAGTTTGCAAACTCGGGCTCTTGATTTTGGACTTGCTTGTGGGTGTGGGTGGGGGGGTGGGAGGGAGGGATGATGACGACAGTGTTACGCGAACACACCCAGCAGTATCACCACAAGAGCCGTTTAACTCGTTATTTACGGTACTTTCGTGATGTCCGACTTTGTTACATGTTCTGAGCCCCTACTTCTCGACTATGCGTATTAAACTTTGCTGTTTGGAACTGTTTGCAAAAAAACTCGAAATTGGGTGGGGGAAAGCTTCTTCGGGGATGATCACGACACTGTTTTGCGGACACCCTGAACAATATTTCCACACTCAAGCGCGCACACACCACACACACCAATTCAAAAACAGACCCTCCTACGCAGAGGTTGGGCGGTAGGGGTGTTGGCGAGCCCCTCCCACGTACAGCTGGCATCTTTGTTTTTGATGTTTAGAAGATGTTGCGCTTCAGGTTTTAGAAATGTTAAACCCTTCTTGGCAGCACCTGGGTTTTGCACGGTATTTACAGCGTTTTCGTACTATCCGACCACCTGGAGTTTATCAGTTTCTTCCCCGTCGAGCTTGCAACTCCAGCTGCTGTCGCAGTTTTGGGGCCTGAGCCCCTGCAACTTCACCGGCTGTGACAGTTAAGGAAACTGAGCCTCTGCAACTTCTGCAGCTGTCACATATAAGGAGCCTGAGCCCGTGCATCTTCTGCAACTATCGCAGTTAAGGCGCCTAGCAGCTACCGCTGCCCAGCCCGGATGGAACAAGTGTAGTTGGGAGGGGGGGGGGGGGGGGGGGGGGGGGGGGGGGGGGGGGGGGGTGGCTAGTAGTAGTAGTAGTAGTAGCAGTGGGAGTGGTAGTACTACTACTGCTACTGCTACTGGTACTGCTACTGCTACTGCTACTGCTGAAGCTACTACTACTACTGCTACTACTACTACTACTACGACGACGACGACTACTACTACTACTTGTTGTTGTTGTTGTAAACGCAAAACCGATCGCAAAACTAAAAACTATTATTGCAGTAACCGCAGCAATAGAAGGAGGAGCAGCACGGGGAGGAGCAGGACTGGTAGTAGGACTGGGAGTAGGAGGAGGCATTGGATTAGGGGTAGGAGGACGAGGAGGAGGAGGAGGAGTAAGACTAGTAAGAGGAGTAACTGGAGGAGTAGTGAGTCGGAGGAGGAGTAGGAGCAGGAGCAGGAGTAGAAGAGCGAATTGCAGTGGCTTTGGCACATGCCGTCGTGACGAAAAGAACAGTCAAGCAGCAAAAACATTTACGGCTTTCGACATTCCTAAACCCTAAACTCCTCGCGGCGCCGCTATTGACCAAGCCGCAAAGGCTGCGAGAGTGGTTCCAAGCTTCGGAACACAGAGACTCCAAGGACCCTTTTGTAATACATGGTCATTAAGTAACATAGATCATGTTAAGCACCCCTTTTACATGCATCTCTGTGCACCTGTCCAGCGAGCTGCTCACAGCTGCTCCATCATGGAGGACTCCATGGAGGCCCTCCAGCCCAAGCGATTAGTGGTCGTAAAAGTAGTAGTCGTAGTAGTAGTAGCATTAGTAGGGCCCATCACCCTCGTTTGCCGCAACTCAGGGGTGACTTCCGGGGTGGGGTGGGGTGGGGGGCTTAATAACGGCATGTTTACATCGGTCAGCGACGTATAACCCTCCATGTTGATTGATGCGCTGTCACATGCGTTCATGCCTTGTGCGAGCGCGCCCGAACCACTGGTTCTTACAGAGCTTCGCCACTTTATGCGGCATACTGCGGAAGGTCATAAGCGGTGATGCCTGGTGCGAGCATACCCAATTGGTATTTGCAGCATGTCGTCGTAGTAGTAGCAGCAGTAGTAGTAGTAGTAGTAGTAGTAGTTGTTGTTGTTGTTGTTGTTGTTGTTGTTGTTGTTGTTGTTGTTGTTTTTTTTTTTTTTTGTTGTTGTTGTTGTTGTTGTTGTTGTTGTTGTTGTTGTTGTTGTTGTTGTCTGACGCCACTTTTTCGTGGCTCCTGAGAAAGGTTTCATCGGCATCGACGGCATTTTCGGGGTTCCAAGTAAAACAATCACGAGGGTAGCAACTTGAGGATTTCGCAGGCTTTGCAGATTGATGCAATGTAATCATCATGGTGACGATTTTGTTAATGGTTTAAAGTTGAGTGTCCCCAAGAGGCCTGTGCATTTGAGCTATATAGCTAACAGTAAATATATTATAAATATATAATTATTATTAAAATAATAGAAAAAGAATTTATGAATATTTATTTAAATATAATTATTAATAAAAATAAAAATAAACAATTTTTATTAAAATTCTTTATTATTTAAATATATTTAAATAAATATTCAAAAATTCTTTATATATCTTTTAATTCGAATTTCTGAATCAAGACCCTCCCCCAGCCCGGCAGTTGGCACAACGTCTCATTTTTTCGCAGCACTCCAGTGAGGTAGCACTCCGCTCTACAGTCGCTCCTGGCTGACACGGTCAGCGACCTTTGGCCTCATGCTTCTGCTTCGCCCGCTTGCGGATACGCTCTTCCAGCGACGTGGGAGCATTCCTCGCTTTAGGTGCATCGGCACGGTCAGAGACCTGCGCAAGCGCTGACAGAGCCTGAAGCACGTCCTGCGATCAGGGGACCGTGGAAAAGATCCCAAAATTTATAGTGCATTTGTGCTAAAAATAGTGCCAAGCATCCTCCTGGCTGACTGCTCTCCGAAGTGTGTGCGCGGTCGTGGCTTCAGCAGCGGCAGGTGCCCATGAAAAGGATACAAACATGCTCTGCAAGATCGCCAGCACCACTGGGAGGGCCATCGCATTACCGGCGAGTTCTTGCATCAAAACTTCCGTTGCTGTCCAGGCCTGAGGCCGCTTCACTGCTTCATACGTTGCTAGCAGTGGCAAAACTGGATAGCCTTGACATATCATGGCTTCGCATCCCAGCCATATACGGGATTGTTTCTCGTACCACAGCTGCATTTTCGGCAAAATGGTCGGCAACACATGCACACCGGTGATTGAATCGAGTGTCGGGCTATTCACTCTGCCCACTGCTTGGGAGATATCACGAAATAGCAGCGACTGCGATTGGATCTTGGCCAGCCGTAAGGCATCTTGCTCTCGCTCTGTAAGTGTCTGGTACCACTCATTCTCCTTGAGTTCTCGGGGCACGGCTTCGCCCCAACGAAACTTGAGACTTCTTGCGAAAGACATGTGCGAATCCATCCAAGTCTGAGCCGTGGGTCCCGACTTTGCCTGGAGCTCCCTTCGCTTTTCCTGCTTTTTCTGGCGGATCTCCAGGTCAGAGACCGCAAAAGCATGGTCACGTGGAAGAAAAATCTCCGTGGCACAGCAAGGGGTACGTACGCACGATGACATGACGGCCCGTACCGTTGCAAACATGGATGAAATAGACCTCTCGCCAAACTCCATGAGTGCCGAGCCCGCTGCTTTCCTGGGCGGAATACCGGAATACCGTCAATGCCAAGTTATAAGTTATAAGTTGCCGAAATAAAATGAATCAGTACTCTAGTACTACTGTTACTTATTACTACCAAGTCGTCACCACCACTACCTACCACTACTACCTCTACCACTACCTCGCAAACGAGAGCAACCCGCTACCATTGCAATTACTGGGACTGTGGTGTAATACCGTAATACCGCTACGACTACGGTAGTGGCACTGCCGCTGCCACGGGCACAACTGCTGCTACAACGACTACCTCTTCTCCAGTTAAAGCCAAGCATCAGGAAAAGCACGTACACACGCCGCCTTCTAGCCGGCAGCCCGAACATTGCAGCATCGCTCATGATGACTTGGTTCTCGTATCCACGGTTCGACATTTCTGCGAGCAGAATATCGAGATTGGAAGTAGCATCGCCCCTGTCGTCCATGGTATCTACATTCTCGAACACGACGATGCTCGGAGAGTGATTCTGCACATATGCCAGCATGCCACGGAAGGTTTGGGCTGACCCTCCCTTCCTAGGCTTAACAGGCACTGATGTCAAACGTTATTGTGACTACGACGTAGACTGACAAATAACACGACTTAAGACTTTAGTAGACGCAGAAACAGTAAACACTCAGTTCCAGCTGGACGTACTCGTCGCTTTTGGTAGCTAAGTTGCGAGGACTCGCGCAGGAGTACCGCTTCCTTCTGCTTGTGTTTATTTGGATTTGCTCGTGACATATCTTTGCAACTTGTCCCGAGAACCAGGATATCCACCGTTGGGATGGGACACTTGCCTTGCGAATCTACGGGGCCCGGGCCGCGGTCGGAGACCCTGGATGCCGTAGTCTGCTTCTGCCTCCCATGAACGGCACAGCAAGCCTGATCTGCGCCCAAATCGCATATATCCGTAAATATGCATGGATCAACCTGTTCTTCTGGATCCACGTCCTGCGACGGCTCACTCCCGTCACACTGCTGTTTGATCTTGTCCATACAGCCCCTTGCACATGAATTGACCATAGAAATCCACTCGATCTTTTCCTTGTTATTCTCGCAACTGAAAACATGCCTGAATGAAAGATCTTCCCCCCTCTCGGCTGCAAGGATACGTAATGCTTCAAAGCAAAACTTTATTCCTTCCGAACCACTACAGCAAGATGCCCAGGTCAGAGACCGTGTTGGCCAAACAGGGCGACCTGTCATCTCTGCTGCAACATCCGCATTCTCTCGCGCTGCTTGCAACAACCAAGTGCCATTACGCAAGGCTTCTGCTGAGATACATCGGGAGCGACCTTTCTCCATCCAGGATTCCAATTCGAGAGGGTCCACCGTAGCATGCCGTCTCAGTTGTCGAGCCATGCCACTCAATAGATAGAAGGAGCAATGGTCAATGGTCGTCAATAGGCCAATGGATCAATGATAATCTGATACGACCCTAAGATACAAGCCAATACGATCTACTATTTAGCCCCTGATATCAGAATAGAGCTAGACTTAAACTTAACTTACTTAATGCACTCTGAAACTGAAGCTGAAGCCACACAGTTGATGAAGCAACTCAACCAATCATGCAGGCAAGAACTACTTGACTACTTGAATCAAGCACTGCATCATGCATTCATGTCACTCGCATTTTTTTCGGCCGCGACCATTGCCATCGTAGGCAGATGATGAATCTCAGATGAATCTGAATGCCTGGGATCAGCCTCTCTGGCTTCTCAAGCTTTGCCGCACATGACTTGACGTGAGTCGTAAGCGGCGACTGGCATCAAAATCAAAATGTGCCCAATCGGCGGCAGGATTAGCTACTATCAGAAATCGACGGATTGTTCAGATTGAGCCTCCAGCCACACCCCAGGCCAGAGGCCGCCTCACGGATCATGCCGAGTTCCGATTGGCCATCATCTTCGCCAGGCCCATGCCGCTTGCCATGGGTTCCTTTCTGCTGGTCTTGCCTTTTCCTCTTCCCTTGCCCTTTCCCGGCTTGGCCTTTTCTGCTGTTGCTGCTGATGGTTCTTGCTCTTGGCCTTCTTCGACAACACCACCACGACCGCGGCCACGGCTGCCACGGCCGCCACGACCGCCGCGAACACGACCGCCGCGAGCCGGGACAACACCAGCGCCCTCAGGCTGCGAGGGGGCTTCTTCAGCAGCTGCCGGTGGCTCCTGCTTTGCTCGCTTCGACTCTTTGGGCATGGATTTCGACCTTTGCTCTTTGTGATCCTTCTCCTTAGCATCCTTCTTGTCCTTTTTATCTTCTTTATCCTTCTTGGATTTCTTCTCTTTCTTAGCCTGATCCTGATCCTGCTTGTCTTTCCCCTCCTTCTTCTCCTTCTTATCCTTCTTATCCTTCTTCTCTTTCTTCTCCTGCTTCTCTTTCTTCTCTTTCTTCTCTTTCTTCTCCTTGGATTCCTTCCTGTCAGGCTTGTCTTTGTCTTTGTGTTCCTTCTTATCATTCTTGATCTTGTCCTTCTTATCCTTCTTGCTCTTCTTGTCCTTCTTCTCTTTCGTATCTTTCTTCTTGTCGTCCTCGGGGGGCATCTGGCCGGGCTCCTCTGGCTTTTCCTTCTTCACTGCCTTGAATTTCGTTACCCTGACCGTAAAATGACTAGAAGAGCTGCTAAGTTCGTCATCGTTCTTCTCGGCTTGGCCGGCTGTTGGCTCTGCAGCTGCTTCGTGGGGAGCTGGCGGGGGGGGGACGTCGACAGACGTGTTGCCGTCGCCCTTGTCGCCATCTGCCTCGAGAGACTCTTGGAGTTGCTCAAGCATCTTGCCTTCGGATGTGGGCGATAGTGGATTGGGCTCGTGTGCAACCACGGCTTCAGTTGATGATTTCTGGGATGGATCCGGGATCGGATGCTCCTGAGATGCCTGGGTCGCTTGGGGCTGGTCGGGTGTGGCTTCCCTTGCTGGCGGAGTTTTCTGCCTGGCTCGTCTGGTGGGTGTGGCTCCTTGCTGCACGCGTCCACGAGTGCCGTCTCCTTCACTCGTGGAGAGATTCCGTTGCCGTGACATCTCCTCATCTTGTTTAGCCTTGCACTTCTCCCACAGGCTCGGGAAATCCACCGCACACTTTCCCAGAGTCTTTCCTACCTGGGCTAAGGGCTAAGGTCTAAGGTCTAAGTGATAAGTCTAAGTCCGTTTGAACGGCAGGATTGATAATTTATAGTAGGCTAGGCTTTTGTACTTGACTTTTGTAGTTGATAATTTACAGACAGACCAGACTACAGACAGGTAAGGTTTTAGAACGAGCCATAAACTTAAGTGTCGAATTTTTTCAACTCAGGCCGCGACAGCTTCTGCACATTCTTGACACAACCGCTTTGCCGACTCCGTGCGCAACTGGCTGTGCTCCGGGGTAACACACAAATCTTTCTCGAGAAGGGTTCGTAGTAGATCCTGTAAACTTTTGGCCAGTTTCTTTCCGCTGTCGGACTTGCTGCCCATCACCGGTGCCCGGAGGACTGTCACCATGGCATAAATCGTCAGATGAGTCACAAGGCACTGCCCGAGGCCTTGGGCATTCGTGGCTATGGACTGCCATTCTTTCAGATTTGCTGCCAGGCCAGAGGCCGCACCAACACCATCATTATTCACGGAGCTGGAACGAACCTTTTGCAGAATACCGTGAGCTTTCAAGACTTCTTGAGCAGTTTTCCGCAAAGTGTTGCCAGAAGCAGCATAGGCCTCGTGGAGCATGGCCATGGATTTCCTGTACTCTTCCTCATTTGCGGGGCAGAATTCGGGAATCTTGCCGAGCAGCTGGTTTCCTCTATCCTGCAACTTCTTCAAAGACTGTTGCTGCTCACCTCCTTTCTGCATGATTCTCTCGGTGATCTTGTCTCCGAGCGCATTCATCCAAGATTCGAACTCAGGAGACGCCAGCTTAGTGGCCGCAAATTTGCCAAGTGGATCTAGTTCCCACTCTTTCTGATATCGCTGGGCTGCTGCTTGAACATTAGACAAGCATGCGTCTTGAGACTCCAAGGCAGCCAGAAGATCTCCCAAAGTGGAATCCTTCTTCACGGCAGCCACCGTATCAGACGCAACCTTTCGTATATAGTCTGAAGCCAACAACAAAATAAAGCTATTTGGATTTCACACTCAGGACTTATAGGAAACTACAGACTAAACGACCAAAGATATTGATATTGACATTGACATTACATAATGGCAGAATCGGCAATTTGCAACTGGACCCGACTCCCAGCCTTGAGGAACGACGGTAGCACGAGACGCCACAATCCACTCTTTCCGAGTGCTGCTGTGTTATCCTTGACCTCCGCCAACTGTCCTGCCATAGCCTCCAGGTCTGAGACCGCTGATATGCAATTCGAAATCATGCGACCCACATCCTGGAATGCTGTCATGGCTTTGTCATGAAGCTCTTTCTGAGCGACTTTCACAAAAGTCGTTTTGAATCCATCAAGAACACCCTGCTCATCCACAAAAGCACAAACGAGCACATCACACGTGGTCCATTCATGTAGGAGATCAGACGTCGGATCTTTCATACTACGAGTAGCCCCTATCTTGCTCTTGGCGAAGATATACTCGATGAGTGGCCCGCTGGTGTCACAAGCCTTGGCATAGCTGTCGAAAAGCTGCGTCAAGGATTGGGGCAACTTCTTCAACCCAACGTCGCTCCAGAACTCATGATGAAGGATATCCGAACACCTCATTGTCTTCAACGTCTCTTCCAAGTCAAACTCCTGGATTTCCTCTTTAGTGTTTTCGGCTTCCAACCGATGAAGAAGATCTTCAATACATGAGCACATCGTGCTCGACAGGATGTTCTGGATTCCCACGGTGAGGACCTCCCAAAACTCTTTGATGATACTCTGAACCCTCAGTTTGTGCTTCTGCATAAGCTTGGATTCTTGTTTGGATTGTTTCAGCTTCCAGAAATGTGCGACCACATCGGAGATGGCATGACCGGTCATTTCGCCTTGAAAGTCCTTCACCTCTTTCAGGGCCGCTTCCAAGTTGCTCACATGCAGCTCTTCCTGGAGCTGGGCTTGTCCGGCTTCCACCTGGGCCTGACAAAGTGAGTCTTGAGTCTTGAGGCTAAGGCTAAGGGCTTGGGGCCTAGTTCAGATAAACTAGTACTACAGGCTACAGCAGATAAAGTATTATGAAAACTAATGTCAGGTCCTAGCCTTACATTGGGAGATGATCTGCATGCCGACTTTGTGTTTCTGGAAGAATTGGAGGACTCCATCCTCTAAGACATCCTCCTCTGCCACTTTTGCAAACCTCTCCAAGGCACTGGCCATTCCCGAGATATCATCTGCGAGCAGATCACGCGTCAGCTCGCACGTGAATATGACATTCTCAAATAGGCTGTTGCTCTTCTGGGCACATACTTCCGAAGCCAGGTTCCTAGCCTGGTTCCGCCCCCAGGACCCATCTTTCAACACGTCTTCCTTGCCCAAAAAGGTCGTCATCCGACTTTCGACGTCCGCATGCACAAACTCGCGGACATTGTCCGAGACCCCCAGATCATTCAGAGCACAAACCTGAAATGAACAATATAAGTTAATTATTAGTAGTGACAACGCAGTATTCGTCAGGATGAAATACCAATTTCGCTCTAGTGAAAGAACTTAAATAAAGACTTAGTGACTTGACTTAGCCTAATGAGTCTATGAGATAATTATAAATTATAAGTTTGAATTCATAATCATCCAAAAGTCCAAAACCCTGAATGCATGCCAAGCGACCTCTTTGCTGTCTTCGCAAAGCACGCCAACATAATCCGAAAGGTTTTTGAAGAGGATCTTCTCATTCAATTTGCACTCCAAGAGCTTAAACCAAAAACAGGATCCAACACGAATGACCCCGTTCTCTTTCAAACATTCGTACGGATCCTCAATGGCTTTGGGACCGCCAGTGCTCGAAGCCAAGGCCGTGTTCAAGTCCAAAGCATTTTGGACGAGCGACCGCAATGACTCAAAACCCTCAATCTCCGAGTCGAAAGAGTTTTTGTTTGGACTGTTCTCAATACGACGCAGGGAGTTCTGGACGGAATTTGACACCCCGGTCAAAGACCGCTGTCGGGCGGCATGCTCCTTCTTGTCCAAGAAGTTGTAGTCATTTCCAAAACCGAGCTGACCCTCGAACTTGAGCTTGAGCTCCGCAAGCTCCTTCTTGAGGCTGTCTTTCAATCTCATGCCACGACCGTCCAAGTTCAACGTCTTTGCTGGCGAAGCGACGGCACCGAGATCATCGGCACTCGGCTTCTTCGCTGGCTGGCTCGGAGCGCTTGCTTTAGACGGCTGCTGCGATTGTGTCTTTTCCACTGGTGGCAATGAGACTGAAACTGTCGGTCTTGTTGGCCCTGCCTTCGCGGTCGATGCTTTGGGAGCGGCTTTCGGTTGAGGTTTCGCTTTAGCTTTCTTCTTTCCTGCCAGGCTTTGCAAACGTTCCTGAGCTTTGCCCTCATGGTCACTTTCGGAACTTGACTCATCCAGCTCTGCATTTGACTCATCAGAACCATCCGACTCCTTTGGGTCGTTCTCTGCAGGTTTTGCCAGGCCGGAGGCCGCTGTTGCATTTCCTCCAAGAACAGAGCTTTGCAACAGGGCCAGGATGCCCTCTGCATCGTAAGACGTGGGAGCTGCCTCAACAGCCTTGGAGACACGTTCCTGATGAGTCTCATTGAATGCCGCCTGTATGGCCACTTTCTTATTGGCGAGGGCCTGGTCAGCGAACATGGCTTTCGAATCCTTCTTGGAGTGTTCTTCCGTCTCCGTCCGGGCCTTTTTCGTGTCGAAGTTCCTGACATCATAACAACCCCTCCTTCCTTTCATCTTGTAGATTCCTTTGACGGATTCACCGTTGATCTCCTGCGACTCATATTGATTACTTGTTAACAGTTAATAGCCCCATTCAGCCCAAAGCCCAAAGCCCTAAACCGCTCACCCCCGAATAACCTAAACCCTGAAGCTGAAACCCTATGCCGTAAGCCCTACTGAACTCCTCCTAAGCACTAAGCACCAAAAAGCCTGCCTCTTCCACGATTTTGCTCTCGTCCAGAACGCCGTCCTCCTTGGCATCCCATTGGGTGATATCGATGAACTGCATCAAGGGACCTTCGAATCTCACGCCCGTATCTTTCACCGTCTTTAAGGTAGAGGCGGTCTTCAAGTCCTCCTTTTCACGCTTCTTGGTGCGAGTCCCTGCCTGGCCACCTTTCTTCATTTTCTTCACGTACTCTGCACGACTCTTCAAAAACTCATCATGATCCACTTGCTTAGCTTCTACTTTCTTGAGGTACTCTGCCTGCGAACCATATTTGTGGGGGAAGCCCAACAAGCGATAGACGTTTCGGCAGATTCCGTCTGAGGCTCCTACTGGCACCCGGACCACGCCAGAGGCGGACTGCACTTTTCTGTATTTTCCCCACGCGATGCACCTCTCATCCCCCTCTGTGCTCGCTGCATCAGAGCAGCCCCCGGTGCTTATGGGATTCGGGTCGCTGCTTTTGCAACCACAAAGTCCACAAACGCAGGGCTTCTTGGGGTGCTGTATGGGGATCGTGGAGTCGTCGCAGCAGCTTCTACCCAAGGATGTCTTGGATCGGGCGGTATCAGCTTCAAAGCCAAGGCAAGACTCCCCCCCATCGCCGAAACCATCCTGAACCTGTGAGTCATACTTACTTTAAAATCGGGGACCTGGGGGCTAAGCCGATATCTACACTACTACACAAGTTAGACTACAACCCACAATGCGTATGGTATAACTGCGTATAGACTATGGCCTATGGCTAAGGCCTAAGGCTTTCTACTAGCTAATGAAACCATGCTAAGTTCAGCTGCTGTAATAGAAGACTCAAACAGTAACACTCGAGGATCGGTAACAGCCGGGCCTCAGCCGCCTTGCGCTTTTTTGAAGCCTGGGTTTGCTGAGCTTTTCTGGCTGCTGAGGGAGAAGCACTGGATGCCGAGCTGCTGCTGCTGCTGCTGTCGCTACCACTAGCCATGGCTTGTCACGGCACACTCTACTGGTTGCGAACCTCCGAGGAAAGAGGAATCTATAGTCTATCATGACTCATGATCTATGCCTGCAATCTCAATTCATTGACTACGGCATGGGACTGCCTCCTCGGGCGACACTAAAGACTTTCACTTTCAGGGCTCGGCTTCGAGCCTGGTCGTCGCTTCCAGCCAGCAGGAATGCTCAGAACTTCTCAGTGAGTTTTCAGCCTATAATGCCGATGCACGATTGCTTTTCCCCCTGGCTGCTGCACACAGCTCGAGAGATGTCGTTGGGGTTGTTGCCGCTTGGCCCACGGCCCGTGCTGGAAATACCTTAGCTAGGCTCTGTGCCCATGCGTGGGGGATTGTTCTCGACTAGGTTGCTGCTCTCCCCACCAGAGCTGTAATGAATGTAGGTGTGGCTGGCTTGCACTCTCCACAGACTGGACCCTGTCTCTCTTACACTTCCACGCGTGCAATCCTATGCAGGCAGAACCGGCGGCCGTTCCTTTTGCACTCACTGCCGGCGGCGGTTCGTCTGTGCAACGGGATAGCTCTGATGGCTCAGGATAGAAGACACTTATAGCACTTAGCTATGGGCATTGACTTGAGCCAAACGTTGCGTGGGCGGTCACATAGAAAGGTAAAGATGAGGGACGCGTAGCGTGCCCCCTTAGAGTCGAGGGACGCGTAGCGGGCCCCCTTCTCTTGCACTTTACACGGTCTTGCTCACAGCTCTTATAGTGACACCTTAGAACTTGACAAGGCATCGCAGTCCGTTCGCACCCCCCATGAGTTGCGTCTCCGACGCTGCTCACCCGGAAGATGGCCCGATAGGACAACAGAAAATGTTCCGCCGCAACGTTGGCATTGAAAATCAGAGCTTTGCATCCCAATTAGAAACGTTGTGACACTCATCTACGTCAGTAACGATCCCCTGAAATGGCAGACGAATCAGGCGTCACCGAAGAAAGAAGCATTCGCGATGGCATTCCATGGGCGAAGCTCAGAGGTCACGAACTGATAGGCGAGGAAGACCAAGCGTTGAGTCATCTCCATCTTCGCGTGGTCGCAGGATTGCGGTCCCAGGGCCGGAGGTTTTCCTCTGGATACTGTTCCCTTTGCTTTCCTTTGTCCTTGCCTTTGTTTCGGCCTTTGCCGGCGGTGTAGTCATAGTAGGTGTTGGCGTTCCAGCCTCCATGCTGTTCACCTCCGGCTCTCTCACGCCCCTTTGAAGGTCCCTTGGCCGAAGAAGCGCTTGCACGTTCCTCCGTAGTGACGGGCGTGTCCAGGATGGAAGTACCACCTGGAGGGAGATAATCAGCAGCCGAAATGTGGTGTAGGGCTTCAGTACGCTTGGTCGTCGGGTTTTGCTGTCTCTCAGCCTTGGATCTGTTCAGTCTGTCCATGAAATGCGCAGGCATTTGCACATTGTGGTCCACCAGCAATCCGATGGTCTGAACTGAATGATCGGAATGAGTCAGCAGGATACCGACGGGGTCGATGTACAAGAAGTCCACCGGTCCAGTTGGTGTTGGTCGTAGCACCGAGAATTGTTGGTGTCCCGTCACCATCGGAATCACCTCGCACAGGACGTTCAGGCAACAAAAGTGCATAGCCTTCACATCTTCATCCCTGTTGCTCTTCAAGTACGTAGTAGGGTTGAAGTTGTCCCTGCCAATTCCCATCATGTTGGCTCCCCGTGTAAGCAACGAAAGCATCTGGTTCGTCCGGAAGCGCTTCAAGGTGTAAGTCCCGTTGGGATCATACTGCTTGAGGTTCTCAGGCTCCTTGGCAAAGCGAATGATCTCCTCATCAGTCACATCCTTGCTCACACCCGTTTCCCTATCCACTGCCGCCAAAGATCCCCACTTTCCGAGCACATCATAGCGTTGGACAAGTGCGAAATTCTCCTTCATCTGGAACAACGGCATAGTCGCCCACTTTGCGAACCCTGACCAAGCTTTGTAGATGGATCTGCATACCACGTATGCCATATACGAAAGAGCGGCCATGTTGGCGTCAATGCAATGGGCATTTCGCTTTCCAGAATAGTAGGATGGCTGCATGGCGGTACGTGCAAGTTGTAGTTCAGGATCGATGTTCAAAGACTGGCCGGTAATGAAGACGGGACGACGTTCCTGTGCAACTGCATCTGGTACTGCGTCATCAAAGTCCTCTCCTGGCTCTATGTCCATTTCTTCATCAGGTTCCTGTTCTGGATCGTCCTCCGCGATGACAGAGGGTTCTGGGATTTCCTCAGGTTCCGCAACGGTCTCTACCTCCATGGCTTCCTGCTCCTCTTCGGGCGCCTCAGGCACTGCGGCTGCTGCGGCTTCCATTGTCTGAGCAATGAAGTCACTGGGGATCTCCGTAGGAGTCTCCCGTTGTGGAGAACCTTGGTAATATCCGCTCGAAACGAACTGTGACCAGCAAGACGTGCATAGGGAGAAACATGCTGGAACGATGTTGTAGCATGCCGGGCACACCCTCATTCTCCTTCCATCCTCGTCTCTGCGTAGGTCTTCGGGTCGCCAATTCTTGATGACAAACTTGATTCCTTTGTCCATGTAGTGATGCCGAACCGTGTTCTCCCTGTGGGACTCCAGGACAGTCGTAAGGTCTCGAATGATCTGCTCCTTGCTGGTGTCGTGGGGTCCAGGAGGCATTTCGCAAAGCAATTCCATGATCTTGCTCGGCGTTCGGTATCTCTCGAACTCAGGGAGCAATGGTGATGCATTGTAGTCAAACACCAGCTCTTTCTCCAATCGTTCATCGTAGATCTTTTCCACCAGAGCGAAAGAGTGTGTATCTTGAGGATCCGGGACGCAAAACCATACCTCCTTGACGAAATGGAACGGTATCGTTCGGCCAACGATCATGATGCCGCTGTCTGTGATACGTCCATCTTCTCGTGCAAGGTCCTGCGATGGGACATGGAGGACAGCCAGTGGCATGTGCTTGGCATCTCGTCCATGTACCCGCATCTTGGTCGTCGCGTTCCGGTGATCGAACGGTGCAAACACCCCCCAATAGCTGTGGAGTCTGCCGCCTTGGTTGCCTCGAAATTGGCGCCTATGGTCGAAGTCCCCGTCGGGGTCCCCCGAACCAGGCATGATGCCTTGCGTGACAATGGAATCCAAGTTGCGGCATGCCGTAGCGTGGAACGCGCCTCCAAGACGTTGCAAGAGGGTCATAGATGGAGAGATTGCGAACCTGTTCTTGTCCAACTGAAGCAAATTGTTCTGGGGATCTGAGTGCGCAGAGTGACCACTTGTAGCCCGAACTGCCCATGGTTTCACCCAGCCGTTGCAAACGTTCAGGTACCTCTGGCTGTGCCGGCAATGATCATTGTTCTGGATCTCCGTGATCTGGTCAGGTACCGATACCAACATGTTCGAACCTGCTGATCCAAGAGTTTCCGTGCCGGGGTCCTTCACTCTCACTCCCAGGAACTGCAACCGAATCTTGGCCTTATGGCGTTTCGTGGCTGCGAGCATGTTCCCTTGGAACAATAGCTGAAGTCTTTCATTGTACACTCTCTTCCTCTGTTGCTCATCGGTCCTTGAGACCGCTTCGGTGATGCGTCTGCTTTCATGGGTCCATAGTTGCTCATGCCTCACCAAGTCTTCGATCATCACCCCCCCTCCTTCATCACATCGAATGACGCTGTTGAATGCCACCTGGCACCTGTTGTCAAGCCATTCCGAGCCTGGGCGCCTGGCGATTCTGTGACGTAGGTCAGATTGGATGCATGATAGCGCCCAATCCGCGTTTAGTCTGCGCTGACGGGTGATGTTGCGAAGGACAACTTCGTTCACGATGTCCCATCGATTGTTGATGAAGCTTGCACCCTTGGTTGGGATCAGATCGAGAATCCCGCACCGGATTGGCCTTCCGCCGCCGATGCATTCATAGCCTGCATTGGTGTAGCCCTGAGTGGTATCGTTAAAAGCAAAGCTAGGACGGTCTCCTCGTTGAGGTAGGCGTCGGTCGCGATAGTCCGAAAGCTGTTCAATAAGGTCCACCACCCGCTGGCTATTCTCTGGTCCTGATTCCTGCAGTGGTACGCCACAAGCATCATGTAGGCCCCGACGGTTTTCCACATCCGTGCAGAGATTGTGTTTGTTCTCATAACGGATCAAGACCACATCACCCCGTACGGCTTCGCCTCCGCGTCGCGGTCGGGCTTTGGCCTTGGGTCGTCGGTCAGAGGATGCAACACTCACATGGTCTGTGGTGTCAACGTCCATTGGCTCAGCCTCTTGTGAAGGTACTCGACGTGGATATCGAAGAAGGCTTTCCTTGATGATCTGGATGCCTCGAAGTACCAGATCCCGGGTTGCAGAATTTTCCGTGCAATTGGACAGAGTGTGTAGATCACTGCCACAAGCGATACAGAACGTGAGGCGGTCATTTCCGACCGACATTTCGCCTTGAGCGAGCAATCCCACATAGTCCTGAAGCTGTGCGACAAATCCTTCACGAATCGCCTGCCTGGGATCAGGGCCTTCTGCACCTTGTTCTTCTTCGGGTTGCGCATCCACATCTACATCCTGTGCAGGTATTGGTGGAGCAACAGAGAACCCTGGATCGTCCGTGACGTTGTCAGCGGCCTGTGTCTCGTCGGTTCTCGCAATTTCTACGGGGTAGATATCACCATCGACGATCACTGTGAAATCAATCACGAGGTCAGCGGACATGTTGTTGACGATCTCAGCGACTGCTTCATTCTTCTTGGGCGGTGTCCTTTTGCGTGGGGAGTCAACCGTGATCAGCTCGATAGCTTCGGCCGACGCGTAGCGGAAGAATGATCTTTCGATTCCCCTCACGCACGCATTTGGTCCCTCAAGGCCACCCCAATTCGGAAAATGACTTGGGTGTCTCATTGCAATTGTAAGAAGCCCGAGCGCCAGCTCCACCGTGTCACCCAGGAGTTCCTCCTTGGGCAAGGCTGACTCTCTGTAGCATTCTTGGCGCTCCTCCGGAGTCAAAAGCATTCTCA